TTTACAGAGTTCAGATCTGGCTTCTGCCTTACAGGAAGCCCTGGGTTTCCCTGCAGCTGTCCAAGGGGAAGAATATTTTCTAGAACCTAAATCATCTCAGTCAACATTACATGCAACTACCAGATACCTAGCCATCCAATAGGACCCAGCTGCCCTGGAAGGTCTACCCCACACCTCTGTTCAGGGACAGGGATGCAGAAGAGCATAGAAATAACTTAAGAGGGCAAAACAGCATTCTCCTACCTGAACAAAAGAGCAAATGTTTTAGTGACTCAGTGCCAGGGTTCCTTTGCTATCTACTTTTTTTTTTGGCCGTGACTCACCACCCTTTATGAAGATCAGGATGGATAATGATTTCAAACATGTTTCTCTTTCATCCTCCTGTCACCTACAGTCACATCTCCACTTATTCACCAACAGGATCAGACAGCTGAGACACTGCAGCTCCATGGATTTTTCACTCCTGGTCTTACAGGGTGGCATTGACATTTTGAGGGTGCTGCTCATGCCCTTTCCATATGACCCAGAAAATTCAGACAGACCTGGGTTCTGGCATCACTGCCTCCAGCTGCTGACTTTCCAAAGTCCAGCCTGCATTTGCAGTTCAAATGCATCCAGTCCTGGTATTTGAACTCCATGTATTCGTTTGCAAAGTAAGTATCCCAGAAATGCCTAGTTTGACCTTTCATTTCTTTAGTGGATGAAAAATACACTCATGAAGGTCAACAAACTCCCACTGATGTTTCAGGGCACGGCTTTAATACCAGCTTCACTTACCAGGACATATCTGTCACACAACAGAGCACTGCAATTCTAAACATGCTCTTTCTTATCGGACCTACTAGGTGCTTATGTTTTTCAGGGCTCTGTAATGGCAGTCACATGCCCTTGTGTGCTGCTCTGCAAGGCCTGACCAGCTGTACTGCTGATACCCAGGAGGTTTCCTACTCCCTGGAGACTGCAGCACCCCACATCTTCTGAGCTTAGCCAGGTTGACTGGAGACTCCTGAAACCCCTTTGACCCCTTCTACAATGATTTGATATCAGGCTGCTGCAGGGTGGACAATGTCATTCTTCAGTATGAGCAGGGCAAGATTTAAACAATACCACCATTATTTTGCTGCATTATCCGAAAATGCCTACGTGCAGGAAGAAAGTGCTCAATGACCCCATCTCCATCCCCTGAACCAGAAAGACAACACACTACCAAAATCTCAGAGGCTGTAGGCTAACGAGCCTGTCCTGGTGCTCCCTGTCTCACTGCTTGCCTTCAGACCTACCTGGAATTTTCACCCGTGACATCTTTGCAGCAAGTTTGCAGAACCCCAAGTAACACCCTGCTGTAACAGAGCACAAGCAGCTGACTGAGTGCACAGCAGCCTAACTTACTTTACTGCTTTCCCTTCCCTGTAATTAGACTCTCCTCCTTTAAAAGGAGAAGGGAGGTGAACTGCAGGACTATTTAAAGTGCAGCCACAAGCACTTCCACTGAAACAGGTGAAACCAGGGCTCAAATTTAAGTTAGGCTTTCATTTCACATCTAGTAGAGTTTTGCCTGTTTGGCCAGACTGCCACCTCCCAGGAAAATATGAGAATATGGAAGTCAGTCTTTTAAGAGAGACTAAAACTGACATCTTCCATGCTAAACCAATGATTTGGAGAAAATCCCTAAGGCACAGGGCTGATATTTTCATCATAACAGGAGCTGTGGACCAAAAAGATAGGTACACATGATGTGGTCTAACCAACTACTGTCCCATTCATAGAAGATTTTCCCTGAGAGAAAGATCTACTCAAAAGTCTGGATTTTAGCTGCTGGAGTTGTACAAGTGTCCTCACATCTTCTCAGGTGTATGAAACGGGAAGAAAGAAAAAAAAAATGTAGGGAGCTATAAGGTATGATTTTGTTTCTGATTTTTTTCAGGAACTACCTTTATATAACTTTGTATTATAGCAAGGTGGTTTTCAGTCAGCTGGCAAGCCTACGTGTCACCTATCTCCGTAAGTGATGAACCATAACCAAGGCTTACCTTGCAGTGACCACTACTTTGCACAATCCAAGGTGTACCAAAAAACTCCCCTAAACTACATAAGGTTGCTTGGATTTGAAAGAGCAGGGTATCAATTTGTGAAGTGCCTCCTAACAGCTAGCTTTAAGCAGATTCCTTCTAGCATACTGGCAGCCAGGACTGTACCCAGTCCTTTAGGAATGAAGTTGGAAAACAGCTCCTGCCTGAAGAAAATGGCCAGAATTTGTACTGCATATTGCCAAGGTAGCTCTGAGTTTCTGCCTCAGCTTCCTGGTGGGCAGCAGTAAGCCTAAACAGATCAGGATACAACGGTTTTGATTTGAAACAGGGCCTTTTCTTGTTTGTTTATACTTCAGTTCTTGATGGAGATGATAAACTGTATTGGGATCAGGACAAATCAAGCAAAGCATTCAGGCCATATGTTATCACAGTCCTGCTGATGGTTTAAAATATCACTTTGGTCCCAACAGAGAAGGGAACAAATAATCAGCACCCCTGGAAAAGACAATATTGTCTGGAATTGCATACATGTAAGTGCTTCCTGTGCTATATTTAGTAGTAACTGCTAAGAAAAGCTCTTGTCTCAGAATAAGGCTGGTATAAGTGAAAGAATTGCTTGTCTAAGATGTAGAGTAAGAAATAAGGCAAAAGTCATAGATTTTGTTCACAGGATGCACGAGAAACTTGTGGCACAACCAGTCAGTGAAGTAAGATGAGCTGGGACTTTGCTCTGCATCTCCAGCTGAGATGATTTCCAAAACATCCAGAAATTCTCTCTGGATGAACACTTCTTGACGTGCATAATTTTAAGACATGCTGGGTTACAATTAAGAAATTCTCCATAACTCAGGGAGTTTTAGCCCCATTTCCCAGATATTCCCCAAGAATATCAGTTGATTTTCCTCACAGCAAGTAGAGGTGCAGCCAACAGGGCAAAGCTGGGATGCTGTTAGTCTTGATCTGTAATAATACCCAGTCTCTTTTCTCAGACTGACAAGAGTCTTCACTTTCTGAATTATTCTTGTTACTCATTTACCAGTTTGCCCCAAACTGCGTTATTGTTCAACTATTCCATTTAAGATCAATAAAAGCTATGTCCTGGTTGTTTGCTCTGCCACAAGGATTAGACCTGCCTCCAACCTTTTTTAGACATATCAAGATCTTCAGATTCACATCTGAAACCAAAAATAACCTTTAGGGTGCAGAGGTTACCTTCTTCAAGAGGTCTCTTGATCCCCTGGCTGTTTAAATCACAGGGTCAAATTAGTTGGGTTCATGGTAGAAATATGAGTAAAGGTTGGGTATGCTGTGCTAAAGTTAGAACTAAAGCCTCTTTAAACTGAGGTATTGAATGCAAGGCAGGGCATCTCCCCAGTTGTTTTTATCTGGAAAGTGATTCACACCCAGAGGCCTTAGAGGTGTTCTGAAAAACAAAACATCATACTTTATCTCTGAAATGTCTTCATTCTGCCTAGACTCACTCAAAGGAAAATAGCCAACCATGCCAGGAATTTGGCAGCTCAGGGTATTTAGCAAGTTCTTCCTCCAATCTGCCTAGCAGAGCAGCTGTATCAGAGGGGCTGCTGTCCAAAAAGTCTACAGGCAAGTTTTGCTAGCAAATGGTTTCAATTCCTGAAGAGGAAAAGTATTAACAGAGGAATGGAACGTGGAAACTCACAAGTGCACTTCTTGATGTGCTTGCATTAAGGAGCCTCAGAAGTTTCTTCTCACGTTGCTCTTGTTCATCCCCTGCACAAATTCCTCTAGGGCTGCTGAAATCAGCCTCTGCTCCAACATGGAACAGAAGTCAGAGTCCTTTGATAAGATGGGAAATAGTTTCTAGTAACAGAGTTACTAGTGGGAGAAAAACTTCCCTAATTAGCCAAGAAAAGCCTCTCTATAAGCATCCATCTGTACTATGATTCCAAATCTCTCACGGAACAGGCAACAACTAATGCAGCTACACAACACAAGGAGTTTTATACCTAGCACAGAACAACAATCTGCATCAAGGGAAGGGGATCTTTTGGGCAATGGGAGAAGTGCTTTTCAAAGGTAAATTTCAAAGGTAAACTTCACCAGCGCTTCTTCAGCTCCACATCCTTAGCACACGGTAACTTTAATCAACGCAGGGCAGCACCTGCTGCTTTACTGTACGTTACTGCCAGGATGTGCAACAACTTGTCCACAGAAACTACTACCCACTGGGGCCAGTCTCATCATGACTGGCTACCTACAGCTGCTCAGGGAAGGAAGAAAAAAAGGAAACAAGGTTATTGTTTTAATGGCATTAACTTTTATTTATGGAAATACCAAATAACTCACAGCTAAGCTGGAATTTCTGTGATACTGTGGATAGTAAAAATGGCTGGAATACTCAGCAATAACAGTTGGGGATTCACTGCTAAGGAAACATCAGGTCCAGCAGACTCTAATCTGAACATGCACAATTCACAGCTCTGGATTGTGACACGGAGGCTAAAAGTGGAAGAAGGCAGCGTCTCTGTCCAACCTTGCAGCATCTCTGTCCAACCTTGCAGCGTCTCTAGACTCACAACACTCCTGCGTGTGGGGAAACCAGCCAGCACACACAAAGGGAGCTGAAAAACCCAAGCTCACATGTATGAGTCTTCATTTATTTATTTTAAAGTGCTTTACGACAGCTGCACTGTGATTTTGTGAAGTCTTCTGTTACTAACAGTCTATTTTTCAGTTCCTTATATAGACAACAGATTGGATTCTGGGTTCCAGAGGCATGCCACCATGTCTTAGTAGCACATGTACTGTGTGCTCTGATACAATTTGCCTTATGCAGCAGAAAAGCCAATACGGAACTATTTCAGAAGAGTGAGTTAAGCAATGTAAAAGCCTAACAAAGAGCACGATCTGGACACAGCAGTAACTTTATAGCTGATTTCAGTCAAAGAACGTGAAGTGAATAAATCTTCTCTCACATTTTGTTGCTCTTAGGAAGCATCTTTTTCAAGGACAAAGTCAACAAAGAAGTTATGATGAACCACACTGCAGACAAAGACAAACCTAAAGCAAGAAGCATGACAATAGACTAGTGAAGTCATTAAAATTGGGCTCTGGAACAAGCCTATAGTATGTCTCAAGGCCTGTCTCACCCCTTACTGGTGTGATAGTGGACATACATAACACAGCTGTTCATGCTGCGTTACAGAATCAACGACCTGAGTAAATCCAAACCCTGTGAAGAAAGCAGATAGCACCAATAACACCGATAAGCTTTCTGTAAGTCAGTTATGTGATCCCACCCCCAGATCACTACCACAAAAGAAACAACCAAAGAATTCACAAAGTTTATTCTTTAAAAAAGTTATTTAAGAAGCAAAATAATTTACTCCAAACCAACAGAGATGCATTACTGAAAGCAGGTAATTATACAAGGTAACAACAAATTAGCCCTTAGATTCAAAAAAAAAAAAAAGAAAAAAGTCCACATCCCACCAGTGTCCAGCCGTCCCGGAGGCTGCACACAGTCACTAACGAAGGACTACGTACAGGATTAGAACACGATAGAAACCTTGTTCAATCTCCCTCCCCACACAGGCCTGAAGTTGCTTGAAATCCAATTATTTCTAAATCACTTAACTGTGCTAAAAAACATGTCTCCTTCAGCATCACGGTTACCATCCAAAGTGTTTCTGAATGAAAGCAAAATCTGAGCAATGCTTTTTGAATACAACCACAGAGCAGGGCACTAACATCAACCAGCCACGGCGTTGCACTGTCTTGTTAAATGGCTGTTCTCAGTCAACAGTAACAATTATTTTAAATAAACATTTTGTTTAAGTAAATGTTTAAGTAAACATTTTTTTAATTATTATTATTTTATTTTATTTTTTTTACAATTGGTTGCATTGGTCATCTTTGAACCAGAACTTTTCCCATTTTTAAAAAAATTTAAAAATATAGCAGTAGGCTGTGCTAGACATAAGAACCTTACACTGAATGTTTGCATTCATCTATCTGGCGAAACTAAAGGTAGCACTTTACATTGCCTCGTCCCAGAGCTTCAGGAAGTGTTTCAGCTGTTCTGTTTAAAAATACTGACTCCCAGACCCAAACGCATGAGAAGATGGCTCCTCAGACTTGACTTTTGCCCTAACGCACCATGTGATGCATACCACTGCGTGGTGCCAGGGACTTTCACTGACTGCAACAACTCATACATATGTGTATATATACACGGCTGGAAACCAAGTACAGTCATTTACTTCGTGCTCATGACTGGTACAAAACCGGATTTTGTAAAACCACTTGCTAGATTTGAACCAAAAGTATCATAGATTGGAGTACCACCCATGTAAGTTAGCTCTACAGCATCCTGAAAGCTTATGCGTGATCCCTCTGTGGTTCCAACAGTAAAATATTTGCTGACCAAGTACTTGCTTTACAGGCCTCCTTCCCTTTTAAAAATTTTATACAGCCCAAGAGAAAGAGAACACCTAAGAGAAAGTAGATTCAATTGCCAGCTCCCGTATGATTTTGAGAATTTACAACTTCTGAAGTTCCAGGTAGCACACTTCTAATGACAAGCAGAACATGCCAAACAATGTAGAAGTTATTATGATGAATCCATATCAAAAGGAGTGCTTAATTTTCACACCTGACTACACAGCCTTCAAACACCAGCTGCCACTTGCAAAACACTTCCCATGGCAGCAGGCAGCCATGCTCTGAACTATGCAGTCAAGCCTGCCAGAGAAGCAGCTCCAAATTTTTCCAAGTAGTGCAAAAGCATAATGGACCTACCATAAACTCACCATTCAACACAGCACAAGCTCCGCACTGCTGTCTTTCCAAAATGCTGAATCTGTGCAACCAGAGGTGTATCCCCAAAGCTATCTTTTTCTGTAATTTTAAGTGGGCAAACAGTATGTCACAGAACTCCAGGGACAGTCAGCTCCTGCTTCAGGGCTCAAAGAATGCTTTCACAAACAACTTGCACCAAGAAAAAAAAAAAAAAAACAGAACACCAAAAGAACACCAAAAACAACAAAACTGCTTGGTGATTACAGACAGCTCACAATGATCATGATTCTGTCACGTTTAACTTGCAAGCATGATATCACCTTCAAATGAACTCAAGTCACAGCCAGTGTTATCCATAATGCTACCCTCTACTGAGTATGTCACTGGAAAATCATGTAAAAATAATGTATTTTAAATTCTCATCAGTGTCACATCTGTCAAGAATAAAATAAATTGCTAAAAAACTTATCTGGAGTATCAAGGATAAAGAAAACATGATACAGACTGATCCTCTGCATTCCAAGAAGAAAATTAACAATGTAATTAGTGGATGAAAAAGTATTTAAGTTTTTTCTCTATTTACTGATTTCAATTTGGAATTTTCAACTTCAAATGAAGATGTAGGAATCTGACACCAACAAACTGAAATTAAGCCTCTTGCAGTTCTACACTCACGCTAGCTCTGCAGACTGAATACTCCCTCTGTAGGCTGAGGACTCATTACTCTTCCATCAGACAGTAGTAATTGGGTATTCAACTTTGCCATGAGAAATGCTGTCTGATCACACACAACATAATCCAGAATCAGTAGCACAAGAACTAAGGAAGGACGTGGTATTCCAAGGAACGCTAGTAGGCTTCACAACAGGGACCATATTTGTACATCCCATTTACATAAAGTGACAATGTTGTGTTCTAGGAAGAAATCACACAGTGTATGCAGCAGTTCTGTGGTACTTTGAGGCTGTTACAACAAACCCAGAATTCCCATCAGTATATCATGCACCTTCTGTGTAGACATCACTGAATCCCTTCCTCATTTTGCAAGGATGCTGCAATCAGAAGTTAGCTCAGCTTTCTTGTTACAGCTCGTTGCTTTCTCCCCTCAGCCTGGACATCCGCGACAACCACTGCACCAATTCCAGTCAACTTCAAATCCCAGACTCCTTCTAAGACAAGGAGGCTCTCCACCTACATTTTACAGAGCCATTTGGAGGAGACTACATTTATGGTCCAGCGGTAAGAAAATAATTCGGAATAAAATAATTTGCAAGTTACAGATAGAGCTGAGTAACAACTGCCCACACTAACCTCCAGTTATTAGATTAACTATCTGTCCATAAATATTGGCAGTTAATGTTAAAGTGAACAGCTGACTAATTTGGTCCAACCTGGAAAAGGAAGATCCAAATGCTCTAGAAAACCAATACAGAATATGCACAGTTCCACCTAAAAAGAGGTGGATAGATCCATTTTGATGGATCAAAAATTGATGCAGTATGCTCCCCTCCCTAGTTCAAGGGTTTTACAAGCACCTGCTGAATCTTTCAGCCTACAAATTCCTGTTTTAGTAATCTACCATGCAAACAGATCCTCCACACAAGACTTGCCTACTTAAGACAACAAGCTAAGATATTCCAGTCCTTGTGACTTTCCTCAGCCCAAGGGAACAGGTTACAACTCCAGATCTTCTCAGCAAACAGGCACTTAAATTAGCAAAGGTATCTCCTTTTTATTACAGAAAAATAAAAGATCAGTTGACCAGTTAAGTGGTACTCCTGGTACAATGCAGATGTTGCAAATATGCTGTGTGGGTGCACAGACAGCAGATACCAATCTGATAAGTGACAGGAGCTTCAAAGGTGGCAAAACCATTTCTGCCACTCCTCTGACAACACTGCAAATCTGTATCTGATACAAAGGGAACAAACACTACTTCTAGCTTTTACCCTAGAGGTAAAGTGAGATCTTTTTCACAGCATTTAGTCTCTGTAATTCACTTTTCTTGTGACTGGTTTTCTTCTTGAACAAGCCCAGACAACACAGTGAGAAAAGAATCCCAGTACACCAAGAGATGTGACTGCTCTGTTAGCTGAGCAAGGAGGTAGACACCAGAGATGTTTTCTTCAGATGGAGCACAGAAAAGGACCCTGTGCTAATTAACTGGTACCAAGATTCTGGTCACTGGCACCAAAATACTGCAGGGCATCAGCATGAGACGCAATACAGTAGCATCGAGACTTGTCCAGCAGCTACGTCTGCACCATGTACTCCTGGCATCTGGAACAGAAAGGCATCTCTAATTAGCTGCTGTACAAATCTGTGGTAGATGTGCAATGCAACAATGCAGTACAAGTCCTGGACTGGTCTACCTGTTTTTACAGTGATGAGCAGCATCTTTTAGGCAACCATTGTAAACAATCTCACTCAGCGGGGGCACTCCTAAGTCTCATTTCTTGCATTACATATTGCAGAGGAACATAGCTCAAGATAAATTCTGCAGAAATCAATCATCAGCAAATGGTGACTACAGAATTGCACATGTTCCCCTTTCTAGTTCAGGTATTACTTGTGCACAAGACAGAAATTATACATTCTCCAAACAGTCATAGAAAAACAATGAATGTTTCCCAAAGGAAGGAGACTGACAAGAGTGATATAAAAAAAAAATCACACAATTATCATTTCAGTGGAAATCTACAGGCTGCAGCCAAAAGGTTGCTATGAAAAGAATTTTCCCTAAGTTTAAAAAAAAAAAAAAAAAAGGAACTAACTAACTGAAGGATCAAAATCTCTGGGTATCAATGGGTTGTATAATAGGGGGAAAAAAAAACAAAACACCTATAGAAGCTATTATTTCTAAGCTGTGCTTATCAACAACTGAAAGACATACAGACAAGAAGCCTTAAGAAGAACTTCAAGTACAGCTCACCTTATCACATCACAATGCAGGACAATCCCATGCAGCCTTGATTCCCATCTTCACTGCTGTTGAGCTTTTTCATCCGGTACTGCCGGATCTCTCTCACCAGCGTGTAAAAAGCATCTTCAACACCCTGAAATGTAAACGATCCAGGTAAAGTATTTTTTTTTCTTGAATCTTTTGAGATCACTGTTCTTTCCATCACAGGACCCCTTGACGTATTTGAAACACATACTTCTACAGGAATAGTAGTTGCCAGCTTATCCCACAGTTCATTAAGAGGAGGAAACCAATTATCTAAAATGCTTCAGTTGCATTCTTAACTCTTCCTCTGAGGTAAACATCCAAAGTAACAGCCATTAAAAGAAACAAGGCAAATTGTAACCATAGAGAGGCAACAGGCAACTTCTTGTCTCATCACATGCAGGCAACAAGCTACTTCTTGTCTCATCACCCCCATTTTAAAATTCTTCAAATTTCTGGCTATTATTTCATGGAGGCAGAGCCACAGATTCAATGCAACTCTGAAGAAATGCATTAAACCAATGCGGGAGATTCTTTCTGTAAAATAACCTTATAATTGGCCTTCGTTAAGATGAGAAAACTGGACAGGCCTGGGATGACTACCTGAACAATCTACGCGCTTCTCAGCTAGAGCAGATGAGCTCTCTTCTCATTAACATCACCCACTGAAATAAAAACAGAACTCTTTCAAAGTAAGAGTCAGTAATGAAACCAAAAACTGAAATTTGCAAATTACACGGAATCACAGAATTGTCTAGGTTGGAAGAGACCTCCAATATCACCCAGACCAACCACTGAACTAGCACTAACAAGGCCTCGACTAAACCATATCACTGAGCTCTATATCTAAGTGTCTTTTAAAGACCACCAGGGATGGTGACTCCACCACTCCCCTGGGCAGCCCATCCCAATGTCTAACAACCCTTTCAGTAAAGAAGTTTCTCCTAACATCCAACCTAAAACTCCCCTGGTACAGCTTTAGCCCATTGCCCCTTGTCCTGTCCCAAGGCACATGGGAGAACAGACCAACCCCCACCTTGCTACAGCCTCCCTTAAGGTACCTGTAGAGAGTGATAAGGTCGCCTCTAAGCCTCCCCTTCCCCAGGCTGAACAAGCCCAGCTCCTTCAGCCACTCCTCATAAGACTTATTCTCCAGATCCCTCACCAGCTTCATTACCCTTCCCTGGACTCGCTCAAGCACCTCGATGTCCTTCTTGTAGCGAGGGGCCCAAAACTGAACACAGTACTCGAGGTGCGGCCTCACAAGAGCCGAGTACAGGGGGACAATCACTTCCCTAGCCCTGCTGGCCGCACTGTTTCTGATACAAGCCAGGATGCCCTTGGCCTTCTTGGCCACCTGAGCACACTGCTGGCTCATATTCAGCCACCTATCAACCAATACTCCCAGGTCCTCTGCCAGGCAGCTTTCCAACCACTCCTCTCCCAGCCTGTAGCGCTGCTTGGGGTTGTTGCGCCCCACGTGCAGCACCCGGCACTCGGCCTTGTTGAACCTCACACAGTTAGCCTCAGCCCATCAGTCCAGCCTATCCAGATTGATAATCAAATTGATTTTAAAAGTACACCCTCCCATAGATAAGAAAAAAGTACAAGTGAAAGAGTTAGACTATTCTTCAGTTAGCGTACAAGTAGAAGTCTGACCAAGAATGGAAGCACCTTACCTGTCTTGTTTTAGCTGATGTCTCTATAAAGGGGATTCCATAGCTTTTTGCTAATTCTTGAGCCTGTTTTGTGTCTACTGTTCTTGTGGGCAAATCACACTTATTCCCAACCAGAACCATTGGCACATCATCTGAATCTTTCACTCTCTTGATTTGCTCTCTTAGAAAATAAAATAAAATAAAATTATGATCTATTTTCTACATGTAAATGGCGTTACAGTTCAGTATCCAAACAACGTTGTGCTACAACAATATATACTAAAGCTAGATAGGATGTCAGCGGTTCTAACCTACAGCAGTACTTCCAACAACTTCCTATAATCCATCCTCTAGTCCTTGTATAACTCTGCTCTAATGTGCTTTTGCCTTCTTACCCATTTCTTCTTACCCAGAACATTCTGTATGTTCTGAATGTCAGCTGATTAACACAACCGAGATAGCTGCCCCACTCATTGACTAATAACATATAGGCACAGAATGCAGATAAGCTTAAAATAAACTTTCTGAAAGAAGGCAGAATTAGTATTTTTCTATTTAGTCTTCACTGGGTCAAATGACAAAAATACTTGAAGCCTCTTCTAATCTTTTCTCCGTGTGGCAAAGACCCAGATCATACCTGTACAGGTTAATATCAGCAAATGATTTACTGTTGTTAATGGCAAACACGCAGAGGAATCCTTCCCCAGTTCTCATGTACTGATCACGCATAGCACTATATTCTTCCTGTCCTGCAGTGTCCAGAATATCTAACAAGCACGTCTCTCCATCAATAACAACCTGCTTTCTGTATGAGTCCTGCAGAAAACACAAGCAAAGTATAGATTATAAAAACACATAGAACTACCACTTTCCATACCAGACAGCATTAGGAGCAAAAATAAACTTTAAAAAATAATATGCATGGAATTCAGAAGAGCTTTTTTTTTATGCACATACGCACACAGTGAAAAAACACCAGTACATATAATGCACAGCACGTTATCTTAATCCTCCCACCTTTCTAACCAAAAAGAAAAGTCGTATTCTCCCTAAGAAATTTCTTATTTTGAGCATAGAAGAATGATAATACTCTCGATACAACATTGTGGTCAGCATCCACGGTCCGTGCAGGTCAATGGTGATGTTTTTGCTGCCATTGTTGGCTGCCTACGTTCTGCTTTAGAAAGCAATAAATGGAACAGACATGGGGCTATTCCAGGATTCCACATCACGTGCACACTGATCTCACATTTTCTTCTCACATTTGGCTTTTCAAGCAAAACACCCACAGCAGCATCTGCGCTCCTTACTCCTTACGTACGTACATTGTTTGACCAAGGACAGACGGATGCGGATTTCATACCACCTCTTCAAAACTCTCAAAAGGTTCATTTTTTTTAATATCATTCTTGAACGAGATTCAGATGCTGCCTCACAAAAATCGCCGGTCTCGTTAAAGCGGATACACTGAAAGCACGCACACACCAAGAGCCACACCAAAGGTTTGAAGGGGGCAGAAAGAAGGAAGGACGAGGTTTGCACCCCCTCTCCGATACAAAGACGGCTCCCACCAACTCGCAGGACGCGCCCTCGCCCTGGTTTCCCTCTCGGCGGTTCGCTCACCCGCATTTTCTCCAGCCAAGCGCCCTCCACTTGCCACCAACCCCCCCCCCGCCCCGCGGCCTCACCTCGATGGTGGGGTCGTACTCAGTCCACGAAGTGGTTCTGGATGAGCTGGATGGTCAGCGCGCTCTTGCCGACGCCACCGGCCCCCACCACCACCAGCTTGTACTCGGTCATCGCCCCCCCGGCGGCCCCGCGGGGAGCAGCGCAGCGCGGCCCGGCCCGGCCGCCGCCCCCCGCCCCAGGCCCCACGGCGGCCGCGGCCCCTCCCGCGCGCCTTCCGCCTTCCGGCCTCGCCGCGCCGTCAGCAGCCGGCGCCGGAAGAGCGCCCGCCGCGCCCCGCCCCGCCCCGCCACGTGACCCCGGGGCCGGCGGGCGGCCCCGAGGGCGCGGCCCGCGCCGGGACAGAGAGGGCGGAGGCGGGGGGGGCTTGTCTCAAAATCAGTAAAACTTTATTCTATTTCCATTCTTTGCCATTAACAGAAAAAAATTGGAGAAAGCAATGTTTGTTTTACAAAGATAATGCATCTCCCAGAGAAGAAAACCCTAAATCGAGAATAGAGGTAACATGAAAAAACAAACAAACAAAAAAAAAAACAACACAGTACTGCCCTCTATTCAAAGAAAGGAACTCCTGATCTTTTTGGTAAAGTAATACTTAGACCAATCATTCAGTTTTCTTGCTTGATAACGTGTGACTGGGAAAATGGGGGAAGGGGCGGGGGGGCGGGGGGAAGCACACAGACATCAACTATTTCACCTTGATGAAAGTCTCAGTACAGCTATGGAAAGCCTAAGTATTTATTCTTTTACAGTACACTGGGTGCCGGCTGCAAAGAAGAAAAAAAAAAGTATTCACTTCAGGCACAACTTCTTTCTTTGTAAATTTAAATCAGTAAAAGAAACTGGGTTTAGAAGCTGCAGTGTTCTAAGCAGCAGCAAATTTGTGCATTGTTTTAAATATATTTAAATTACCACACTGATGGCACACCTCAGCCTTATGAAATTCTGCACTGCATGTGTTTCAGAACACTACAAAAATAAGTCTATCCCAGAAAGAGACTTTCACTGAGCTCTACCACAACTTTGCTGTCTAAAGAACTCAAGTTAAATGAAATATGAAAACATGGTAACATCTGGCCATCAACTTAAGTTATCTGAATGCTCATACAGATTTTCTATAAAGTTGAACTTATTCCACCCTCATGGTCCTCATAGTTTGAGCAGAGCAAGCAGAAGTGAGCCTTCCACTTCCACTTGGAAGGAAAGATACAATGCAATCGAGTACTAAGGCATAGTAAAATATCTTGGCCAAAATAACAAAGAAAGCATAGATAACTGTAGTGCAGAATTCCATAAGGTCTACCAGAGTAGAGCTGTCTATAATGTTTACTCACATAGGCAATGTAGATTTGCAGTTACCAGTTGCGTTAAATGCACCATTCAAAACAAGCTTCTAAAATGTGATACTATAAGGCGCCACCTTAAGTTCTCCAGAATGCAACTGTGCATAATTTTAAAATGGTTTCATAAATTTATTTTAAACATAACATGAGAAGGTGTTAAAACTGGTGTAATAGCTTCTTAAAATTTGGAAGGGATGAATAGGGAGATATTCAGTACCCTTCACCAGCCCCCACCACTCAGTCGTACTTCAGGTATTGGCTTTGTTGATCAGTCTATAACACCAGCTTGACGGATCTTTCTCTCTGCACCAAATCCCTGCAAGAAAAAACAAAAGCTTTTTAAGGTCCAGCACCACGCTGTAAGGCAAACTTGTTTTGTTCCAACCATGTACAGCATTAGAACATTTCTAATTCACCACATTTGTCTTCAGAAACAGAGACAGTAACAAAACACGGTTGTGTGGGTTACTCCTTACAAATTAAAACCAGAACACTCATAAGTCCTAGATACTTCATAGATTCCAGACACTTTATTCCTTCTGTAAATCAAGTGTTGACAAGACTTCCCATGCTCTACTGAAACCACAGCATACATTATCAACAGAGAGTATAGTGTCCCTAACTTCTGACCAAAATAGGCTCATCTCACACAGCAGGAGACTCATTTGTGATGGAATTGAAGTGGACACCACATTTCATACAGTTTAGATTTCCAGTAGCAGAGACAATGCTATCCACGTTAAAAAACATAAACTGAAGTTATCCTGCAAGCAGCAGCTTTGTATTTCACTTACCTTTGAGTTATCCGGTCCCCTGGGCTGACGAAGAACTGTTAGACGAGGAGCATTGGCATCATCCAGATTAATGTTCTTTAAACGATTAACAAGTCTATCAGGTCGTGGAGCAGCAACAGCCTTAGCGCCTTCACTGTAACAAAGTCAACCACATGGAGTACTGATGAATTCCCAGAGGTGGTATAAACTACTAAATTCAGTCACTTTCCATATTAAGTCATTACCATGATCTGTCTTGTTTGAAAGCAGACCTGGATGACACCAGAGATGTCTGCCTCAAAACCATTACTTTAACACACCACTAGACTGCAACAGCAGTAGATCAAAACAGTATTCTCATTCTCAAAGGGGGTACTTCTCCAGTAAGGGTGATGTAGTTACTATTAATGCATGCATGACAGTATTCCCTACTTTTCCGTTGCCTTTCACTACACCAATATAAGGCTTGTGAGTTGCCAGCACACAGTAGCAGGATATAGTTATCCCTGAAGACAATGAGAACAGACTTTGGAAAGAAAAATTAAATATTATCACTTCCATGGCAACAGGAAGATTTCTCAGACTTAAGCAAAATACACATTTAAAATTAGATGGTACGATTTAGAAGTTGTTCAAAAGCACAAAAATAAAAATAAATCAAATGCATGTCTCCCCTAGAAATGATGCCCCTATCTCTCAGTCAAAAAAGACTGAAAGACACCTGCTCCTTAGGGAACAACTGGAAGTGTTATCCATAAAGCATGAATTGCCATAGTCCAGGAACTTCATACAGAATTCCATCTGTTTTCTTATCATTCGTTAATTTCTGCATAGAAGACTGTCCTTGCTATGGGGGAGCTTCTTAAAAAGAGAACAAAAGCAGAACAAGCTATCTGCAGTTAAGTAAAGCTGAATTCTGATGCTGCAAAGTACTGTATGTCTTACAAGTGCTGGTATTTCTCAGATGAGAAACTCCCACTGAAGCCAGATGAAATTCAGAGCTCCAGTTCTAGGAACAGCTAGCTCAGTTTACAAGTAGCATGCACACTCTACTACTGATGCAGGCAGTCTGCTAGATTAAAACAGTGATTTTAAATCCTCACCAGACACGCCACACGTTACAGGCACTGCATTTCCCTGTGCGCTGGTTCAGGATTACTGAGAACTCCACTTCATCCCCAGCCTGTAGTTCCACACCATCCTGAACTTCTTTGACATGGAAGAAGAGCTTTTTGCTGTCACCCACTTCATAGTTAATGAAACCAAACTGAAAACCAACACATCATGTGGTTATGTCTTTCCCCTTGATCCAAACAGATGCAACAACACACAGTACTGCACAATTTAACAACTTATAGGGAAAAAAAACAAAACAGGACTCCAAGGAGCCTAATGGAAGTGGAAATGCAACTTCTACATTGAACAGAACTCTGTACTTCTGGAAGTCTAGCCACACTTCTGGCGTTTCTAAAGGCACATTTAAACCCCAAAGCCTATAAGCAAGTTCTGAAAAATGCCTAAGTCCTGACATTTGAATTAAACAGAAAAAAAAATATCAAAAAACATTGCTGCATATTCTTTTCTAAGACACCACTTTCAAAACTACATAATAGAAACTTTTTTTTTTTTTATAGCAGTGACAGACAAAAGAAGTTTGGGGTTTTTTTTTGGGTGGTCCTGTATAGAGGCAGGAGTTGGACTTGATGATCCATGTGGATGCCTTCCATCTCATGATATTCTATGATAAAGCAATATCCAGCAAAACCCATCTGGCTTCTCCATAAGTAACTAGAGGTTAATGCTGCGGAATAACTATAGAAATGGACAGCATTCTCAACACTTAGTTCTATAACTATTCTGAGATGCAAATAACTAGGACAAAGGTCAAACTTCACATTTCAGGTAGACCACAATCATCAACTGCTTAATGCTGTGAACAAGCTTCTTCTAGAAGCAGATTAGTTTTTTTTGTTAAGAAATAAAACAGAAACAACTTTTTAATGCCTTCTTCAGCAGAAACTAGTCAGATCAGTTTCTAGGACATCTCAATGAACAGGACAGAGCAGCTCCTCACAATCAGCCACAGTAGGAACTGCTGCTCCCTAGCACTGAAGCATCATCAGCTGATGTACTAGTTCACCTTTCCTGAAACCATGCACAAATCAGTAACTGGGTTTTATAAGCCTAGGTCCCTAGAACACTAGAACACAGTACAAAGCAATCCATTTGTGCACAACAAACTTCCTGCGTTGAAGTGCTGAAGCAGGTTTTCATCTGCTGTATGCTAGCTCAAACACACGCATCTTGCCTTCAGAGCAGTATTCACTCACCTGATCTTTCACACATTCCACTGTGGCCCTGCGGAATGGCGTGATGTTGACAGCCATTGTCTGCCCATTTTGGCCAAGCACACAAAGCTGGAACTTAACTGTCTCCCCCTTTTGCAGACAGTCACCTTTGTTTGCCATTCCAACAATTCCAAATGGATAGAACTCCCCTTTCATCTCACCTTGAGAAGAAAACATACATGACATAATTAAGAGTCTTTTTTCCTACCTGAGGGCATTTAGAACTTATTTCTGGTATTAGAAATAGTATTTTTACTGTGATATTAGTAGTGTGAATATAATCCTCAACACTTCCATTTACATGTAATTTATTAAGTTCCTACGTTTCATGTGTATCCAGGAAGAAAATAGTTATAATTTACCTTAGCTGAAGTTTACTATACTTAGCTGTGTTTACTATACTTAAAGCAAGCCTCAGGTAAAAGCAGTAAGTCTTACCATCTTCCATGACTTCAATCATGCCCTGGTATTCAGTTTGTGTGGGATCTACACTGCGCAAAGGACGAATTACTTTACCAGAGTAAACAGTTGGATCAGCTTCTTCAGTGATACCATTCACTGAAAAGAAACAGACAGTGCAAGAATCAGGAAATTCTAGGTATACTTCTTTTTAAAAATAAAAAGTGACTGATTCATATTGACCACAAGCCTATAGTTTGCACCAGAACAAGCTTACAACAGTACACGATCACCCAGTAAAACCAGAACAGCTCTAATTCAGCAATATGTAGCGATAGCTTTTGTAATCAAGTCCACACAGACAGTTCAAGAGCAGAAATTGAAGGGTATTAGCTTCTCATGAAGCTACAGACCATAGAACCTGAAAAAGCACGCTGAAGGATTTAACTTCTCCTACCATTGCACTCCCAGCTCCCTTTGATCAGTCAATGTTGCTTAAGCATGCATTTTGCACCCCAAAATCCTTAATACCCACACCTGCAATTTTTCTGTAAGGAACAGCACAACTAGAATTACTAATTTTGCCACTAGGTTTCTCCTCATAGAATTGCAAACTTCAACTATCAGCAAATCTCAAGGGCCTTTTAAGCAGAAATTACCAGGTAGAGTCTTACCTGCATGTGTTTTGTTCACCTTTTCTGCACTGACTTTGTTTCCTTTGCCTTTTGACAAACTGTATTCAACTGTGTCTCCAAGTTCCAGGCTATCAATATCACCACAGTACTCACTACAGGAAAAAAATTATATGCAATTTTCCTTTAGTTACGTGATAACAGTGATGCTCACCCTGCATTCACATAGGTTGATTAGAATCCTTTTAATTGACTCAGCATCTCACATTTTCAAGAAATACTCATTCAAGAAAGTGAAACTTCAAATACACTTTTCAGTAACTGTATTTCTTGGCCTGACATTCAGAGGCCTAGATCACAAAGAACATTGACTAACAGAAAAGCCTGAACCAGTCCAGCAGAGATAATCAATGGAACTTGAGAAATCTAAGCATATAACCACGTGAGGTCCAAGAGTTAAACAGTCATTTGTACAAAAAGGATCGTCATTCACCTGTAGTGGAAGAAGATCTCCTTATCATGATTAGCTGTTTCAATAAATCCAAAGTTATCTTTCAGGGCTGCCACATATCCCAAAAGCCTCTTGGAACTATAATTGCGTCCAAGCATTCTGACAGAAACAGCTGTTTGCAGACCAGTTCTCTTCACTTCACAAACGCTGAACTCAACCTGTTTAAGAGGTACATATCAATACTACAGACAAAACTCATCAACAACAAAAGCAATAAAAATACCCTACAACCCAGACAACTCATTTCAAGGCTGTGTAGCTGGAATCAACATCTAGGTTCTCCAGGAAAGCCATCTTCTAGCCACTATTCTCCCAGAAACATCTGTCAGTCACTGACATTTATTACATTCCAGAGAAGGGCAGAGTCAGTGTAACACCTAGAAAGGTGAGCCAGCATCTACTACTGTGCTTCTTTTGACTACTACATATAAAGTTTCTTACCTTTATGTGGTTTGCCTCTTTGCACCACACATCACCAGTGGCCCACAGTGAGCATGTATGTAGTTTGGCTCACTTCTTTTATAATTTTAAAAGCAGTAATCATTGCCTTTCTGCAGTACTCCTGCATGGCTCCTGAACATTAAGTTTTCAGGCTGCTCTTCCACATCTATCAGCTTTTTCCCCAGTCACTATTTCCCTGGCCATTTTGCTGCTAGAGGAAACATCCTGCTTTTTCAACATCCATCTCATTGTCTTTATGCTAACCTCCTCTTGATTATTCACAAGTGGAGTCAGTGTCTTTATAAGCAAGGCTAAGAATTTTTTTACTTATAAAATGTGTAATTTACATAGCAAGACAGTATTTTTATATATGTGTCACCAGGTTTTAGAATATACTTTCTTAGCCATAGAGAAGATTAAGCCACTCAAACCCAGGCCAGAATAAAAGAAAAAGGTGACTCCTCAGGTGCCTTGTCCTTCATTTAAGGAAGGCAACAAATTCAGTGACAAGGCAAAGAGAAGCTCTCATCTTGAAGTGCATGAAAAAGTATTCCCCAATGGTATACTTAATTATATTGCCTTATCTCCAATCTGTGGATTAGCAGATCCTTCCACATCCTTGGCCTGGTAAGGAATGGTCAGTTTTACTCCACAGTCATCATAAACAATTATTCCATCCTCAGCTTCCTAAAGACAAGACATCAAGATTCAGCAATTAGTGTCTTATTTATTATCAAACAAGCTTACTACATATAATTTAAGCACTACTCTTTGCATTTGTATTGCGGCAACTGGTAAGAAATGCAGAATAATGAACTCTGAATAAGATCAAAAAACACAGGCTTCAAATGACATAACCCTGTCTAGTAAGAGCCAGAATTTACTTTTTTTTTTTTTTATTATTCTCTAAAGATACTATTCCTATAAAGTATTTATGGAAAGTTTAATTATTCTATCATAGTTTAAAGCAGCAGAACAAAAAGAAGAGGCACTTCTCCAACCCTAGAACTTTAATTTCAACCATTTCTAGCATCTTCTGCAGTATGACGTAGAAAGAGGATCTTCTCATCAGGTTCTTGTAAATTACCCTCAACTGCAGCATCATTAACCATGCTCTTAGTATCTCATTTCACAGAAATTGGTTTTCATTGAGTGCTGTCATTAGCAATTCAATGCAGTCCGCATTTATGTAGGATAACCAGTGTTTCTGAATGTTCAGTTACAGATTTAAAAGAAGCAGCCTCAGTCTGCAAAGCCAGAAACACAGCACAGCTGCTTCTTGCATACTACCTTCTCTTTGCCTTTATTAGGGCTAGTGGCTTTAGCTGGAGTGGCTTCTTTGTCTATAGTGCCCACAAAACGGTGATCTGATTGGGTGTGGAAAGAAACCGTGCCTTTCGGAAGTTTTTTAATCCTAATAGCATGATTTCTTTGGGCAGACAGCATATCCTGAAAAACAAGATCAATAAGATCTTCGACAGGCTGCATGTTAATACTTTTGTGAAATCTTAGTTTTCAAAGAAATTGTACTACTCACAGGAACCACAGTAAACTCTACTTCATCAGAAATATGGAGTTGGTTTCCATCCATAATTTCACTGAAGTGAAAGAACATACGAGCATCCCTGTCAACACATTTAATGAAGCCAAAGCCATCTCTCATCGCTGCGATCACACCCTGAAAATAACCAGAGGGACAATTAGTTTTACTACACGTACATAACATTTGTCTGTAATAAGATAAAACTGTGGAGTACGTAATAATCTGAACGTAAAGCTCCAATCATACAAAAACGCTTCTTAATATATGCACTTCTCTGTGAACTGTAGTGCTCATGGTTACAGCCAGCCTGAAATTCAAGCAAACCCCGCTTACCTGGATTCCTCAGCTCACTCTTATTCATATGAAGTAGAAAGTGAAGCAGAAAAGATGAGTGTAAGCCAATAGCAAGGACTACAGTCAAAGAACCTGGTATTACTGCTACCCATACACAGGTTAGTTTTGTCCAGCACTTTTTACAGGAATGAGATATTCTTTAATACTGACCTGCACATCTATCTTAGTCACTGTCACCCATCAAGAGCTGCTCTGCATATGACAGAACTTAGCTCTTTAGCATCCTTCTGCCTGAATCTCAGGCAGAGATTGTACAAAGAACAGTAAGACCAAAATTCAGAAGCTGAACACAGTATCTCCCCCGATTCTTAAGACTTTTCACTGCCTGTACCAGAGAATTCTCAAGTTCTTCCAGTTTTCCTAAGAAACTGGAATTACCTACTTAGACTCGAGACCATTAAAGCTTTTAATTGTTCAAGACTGTGTTACTGATGTGTCTGCTATAACCAGCTAGCAATCCACTCCAAGAAGGCCAATTAACCTTTACTTTTCTTATATAATTTCATTTACTGAGTAGTTAACTTTTTATTTTCATAAAGGAGAAGTGTACAGAATTAATTCTGGATTTTTTACTATTTAAGCACAGTCTCGGAAGAGTATCTGACTTCAGAAAAGGCAATGAAAGAAAAGACATTAGTGATTTTCACATTATGTTATTGAGACAACTACCCCAGTTTTCACCTTCATTCCTTCCCCTCAAGAAATAAAGACTTAAAAATAGATACTTGCCATTTCCCTAGTTTCATTAGTAAACTGGAAAGTATTTGGGAGAACCTCTATATTGGTGGCTCGTTCCAGTTTGTCACGCCTGTCTGTTGAAATATTGAATCGAACGTGGTCACTTTCCAGCAAAGTCACCTTGGATTTTGTATCTTTGTCTCCAAATGGAAGTTCTTTAGGAATCACAAAGTCAACTTTGATGCGGCCAGGTAACGGATCATTCTAGTGAACAGAAAAATGCAACACAAAAGTTTAGTTCACCTACGAAGCTCAGCATTCAAAACTTTATATAAGCACTTGGGAAAATGCTTATTAAGCAGCACAGTTTCATTTCCACGTTTGAGGTTGGAAGGCATCACATCTGAGTGACTGCTCCTAAGATTACAGTGGCATTACTAGAATTTAATTTAGTTTCTCTCTTACCTATTAAATCAGCAGTTCCACAGACTTCAGCTTCACTGCAAACAGAATAGTTTGCAGAAACACTACTACTAACAGGTGTACTGGACAACACCAAATGCCTGCTTGATTCTATCCACAAGGCTTCATTTATAACATTTCTAATTTGCAATTTTACTGCGCACACCAAAATACAAGCTTTTTTTTTTTTTTTTTAAAGTACTAAACAAGTATTGCCAAATAAATAATCTATTTTGAGAATTAAGTTCAGGCTTTCCTGTTAAGTGTTCAAGAACACCTGCTCCACACACACATGCACAAAAAAAAAAATCCACCAAACACAAAACAAAACCCAGACCTGGCCTAAACACTTCAGAGAAGTGGTTTCATGTACACCCTTCCCTAAAAGCCAAACATTAAAGGTCAAGTTATCTCTGTCAAAAAAAAAACAAAAAACAAAAAACTCATTAACTGATCACAGGAATCCATAAAACACATTTTCTTCCCTTTTCACTATGCTTTTGCCTTTAACATACACCCTTAGGAAAAAAAAAAAAAAAAAAGAATGTCCCTATTTTTCAGTTGGAAAGATTTGAAAGATTAAAAAACAACACACATTGCACAAGGTACACTATCATTTATTACCCTCATTTATTACCCTCATCCCTGGTCCTTCCAAACTTTAGAAAAATTTCTTACTGTGACTGCTGTCAATGGTTTTTACAAGTTAAGCAGTCTTCTACTCTGACATGATGCTCACATAGTAGACTATTACAGAAAAAGGGGAGCTTTCTCTGCTTGAAATCCAATACATTATTTCACAAACTTAAATACTGAAATGCACCTGATTTTTGCTGGGTACTTTAGGAATTACTTTGGTTACAGTTCCTTCAAAGTGTTCAATGCTGATATCTTCAAAAATAACAGTTCCTTGTGGCAGCAGTCTTACATCTGTTGCAACTTCTTTACCCTAAAAGTACAAAGCCAGTTAAATATCCATATTGAAGTGGTAAGGCAACAGATTATTTTCCTATGAACTTCCTCCCCTCCCCCTTCTTTTTATAAGCGAATTTGAAAAAACAGAGAGATGTCCAGTTGCACCCTAGGATCTCATCTTCAGTTTTTACTGGATTTCGTCTTACATTTCTGTCTTTGATTGTAAACTCCACATCATCACCAGGCTGTAAGGCTTCTAGGTCACCTTTAAATTCACTATAGTGAAAGAATATCTCCTTCACGACATCACCCCTCTCAATAAATCCAAAGGCTTCCTAAGAACAGAACAAAGTGTTTAATAAATTGCCAAATCTCTTATCAATACACCATCTTACAAGTTCTAGCAAACACAATACAAGATTATGCCATCCCAGTACAGCAATCTCATTAGTGCATACACCTTAGACTACCACAACAAATATATTAAGGGAAACAAACAGGAGTTCCTTTGTTTTCAAGGAGGTTATTAGTATCAAAGATTAGATATTTAAACCATTTCACCCAGTTGACCTTCATACCTCCAAACTCTTAATAGCTCTTAATGCACTGAATTTACTTAAGCTACCACTTTTCAGAGAAGCATTTAATCTTCAAGTAATATTTTGAAGCTAAAGCATCACTTACTTTCATGGCACAGACTACTCCTTGACAGCGGGCTTGTTTCTTTTTTAATAGCATAATGTTACGAGCACTTACAGCACCAGTACTAGAGGGAAGAAGTAAACATAATAAACCTGAAACACTTAAACTGGAGAAAAAATAAAATCTTATTTCATAATGACATTTCAGCTCTTAGAACAGGCATGAAGTACTGCCTGACTAGTAAAAGAGAAGTATGAGATCAGAATTGTAATACCAACTTACTGTTTATTTGTATCAATTACAAAGTTTATTTTATCTCCTGTTTCCAGCTGAATATTTCCTTCAACATCCTCTGGGGTGTAAGTCAGGTAAAACACTTCCTGTAAATTAACGTTGACTAATATTACTCTACTTGCAAAATAGTCAATTCAAAGAATTAACACTTTTCAGTGACAGTAACTGCTATTAAAGAAATTAATTTACTGAGGAAATTGAAAATGATCAAACACTGCATGCAAAAACATACTTTCTTCCAGTGTTGTTTTCGTAAGTCCGTAACAACCAACTTAAATTGAAAGGTATGTACGTGGCTAACTTTAAACGTCGATTTCTAAACTTTCAAAGTTCAAACTAAGAATACATGAATGTTACGTAATCAAGCTTTGTTCAGTTTTAAAACTGAAGAACAACTGAACTATTTGGTTCCATATTAAACTCTCAATAGATACAGGTGGGCAAGCAAGCTGTACAATTAATGTATCTGCTTGTAGCAATTACCAAAGTATGCTTTTTATTTTTTTCCCCTTCTAAGAACTACAGTTTTTAGGACTATCAATTGTCTCCATTGTGTCAGATTTTTTGCTCATAGACCATAGTGACGGATCAGTCAAGAGTTCAAATAAAATACATAAGCTTTACCCCATTACGTTCGTAGCATACACTCCCTGTTGGACTCTGACCCGGGGCAGCTGGAGATTTACTCTCTAAATTGTGAGGAACAGCACACACAACCTACCAGTCAAAAAAAAAAAAATCCATTGCTAGTCATTTCAGGAGCAGCATTGTTGAAAACAGAATGAATCTCAGTAGCCTCTATTATACATTCAAGGATGCACTTCTAGTTTTAACTCAACAGGGAATGCCTTACTGTAACGTTTCAACCTTATAGAACACCTGTTGACTTGAAGAACTGTTTGGAGCAAAGCAACAGGTCATGCCAAACCTCTGAATTTCTAACAGAGTAACAAAAATAGATTTCGCTATAACTGAATACTGTATGCAGTTAATGTGCACACTAAATGAATCTGTCATTCCTGAAGTAAAGGATGGAAATTGTGTGAATTGAAAATAGACATTTATCACAGGCACTAACTTGTCCATTTATTCGCTCTTCAGGTAATATTTCTGGTTTGATCTTCACCAATTTAACAGCAATGGGTTTTCCAGTTCGGCGATCAGAAGACACCTCAAATTCAACATCGTCTACAAAACAATCAAACACAGTAATGGCATTATATACTTTTTTTTACTCCCTAATGGTTACATCTGATAATTCACTGCTTGTACCTCAACACAACAAAATAAAACTCAGGTACTTTTGTTACCTAGGAAGGATATGCTGTTTGCAGAACTTCTCTGCTTTTTCCCTCCTTTTGCTAAAGAACCATTCCACTGTAAAGGCTTGCCCAGCAATACTTCCTCTCCCCTTCCCTCCTGCTCACCATATAGCAGACCTCACACTGAAGGAGTTCAGACTACGTAACATTGTTATTGAACAGTTTATAACCTTAATTGCCACATAGATCAGTGGCAACCTCCCCATTCTGCAAAACAGTCAACAATCTTAAAACGAATTATTAAAAAAGTAGTGAGGCACAGTCTTACAGTCTAAGCACTTGTTTCTTAGTCATGTAACTTTGACTTAATACTGCACCTTTTTCCAGAACAGCCCCATTTGTATTAATACAAGCTGTAGTAAAGATCTTTCACCAGGAGTGTGAGATTAATTCAATCATCTTTTTAGCCCATCAGGAGCAACAGAACGCATCTGTTAATGCCACAAGATAAAAAGGTTTTCTACCACAAGTAAAGACTGGTCTTCACTTGGTCAAAAAGCTGCCTAATTACCTCCTACTTTGAGCTCCTGTAAGTTGCCATTATATTGTGAACAGTGGAAGAACAGTCTAGCTTGCCGTTCTGAACACTGAATGAATCCGTAAGAGGTCAGCAGTTTTTCTATAACCCCAGTCTCACGCAGTGCTGCCGAAGTACCATTGGGGTACCCGTTGTGTCCATTGTTGTGGAGAAGGTTTGGATCAAAGCTCATCTGTACAAAAGAAAACATAGCAAGAACAACAACAAAAAAAAAACAAAACAGCATGCTACTTTAGTCTCTCCATAAACGCCTAACAGAATAAGACATACAACAGCTTGTGGAATTTACTGTAACAGGCAAACTCTAAACATTTTTAAAATACAGTAAGAATTCCAAAACTATCTAGCTCTTGTAAAACAGTAATTCTTAAATTCAGACAGGCAACAGAACATAGCCAGAAATAAAACACTGAAATAAAGCCTGCTTAGACCAAAACAAGCTTATGACTTTCCTAAGTACATCTCAGAGAAAGCACTCCTACATTCACCATTTCACATCAGACAAGCCTGAAAACACCTAAAACATCTGTTCTTCCAAATTACACATGTAATTAAGAAAACACAAGTTATGAAACAATAGTACTAGGTTCATTATCCATGCATAGTCTGTCCCTGTTTTGTCTGTTGAGTCTTTTATATAAAAAAACAGTTTTAAGTGTTTAAATACTTTTGCACAGTTATGAAATACCAAGAATTAAACCCCCAGCTAATATTTCTGTGATACAGTAAGTCAAGTGCTGGAGAGACTGAAAAAACTTGAAGACATCATTAAACTGAAAAAGTTAAAAGCTTTAATGAACAGTTAACTTACATCCATGAAAACTTCTTTTCAAGGGACAGGATCAACCTTGAAATATTTATAAGTCCTTTACTAACTTGCTGGATTTTGTTGTGCAGAAGAGGTGTCATTTTTAAAGCAAACCATTTCCATTTACAGGTTTGCAATTACATCAGTTGAAATGCATCACACCTCAAATACTGTAATTCCAGAAACACCACTCAAGAAAAATAAAAAAAAAACATGCCAACAGTCAACGTGTATTTTGGAATACAGTACTAGAGGGTTTTACAGAATCCGACTATATCTGCTCTCTGCTTTGTTGCTGCATCGAACAGAAGAGATTCGAAACTACTCTACTATACGTTTGCTGGAGATGGGTAACTCCTGAGCAACCTGTAAAATGGTCACGCTCCTTACTGTAATATAAGTATCTAGTTACTCAGCACATTAAAAAGATACAGCTATAGCATGGTTTATTAAGTTGTTTGCAATCAGTTTAGAAGTTATCAAAAAGCACTGAAAAACACTTCCTGGGCAGATTTTTTAATTAAGCTAGACTAGTATTAAAGTAATTAACTAAGAACAACTACAAGAGATAAGAATGAACAGAGTTCTGACCTCCAAAAGAAAAAGGAAAATACCAGTCCTAATGCTACTTTACACAGCAACTTCTCAGCAGAAGTCAGCTTTCAACCATGGTTCCCCACATGGTTCTAAAAAACCACTGGTAATATCTAATGGTAAAACTATTAAGAATAACCCATGTGGTTTTATTTTTCCTGGAACATTTCCACTTTCACACTACTGTTTACATGTTATTTAAAGTTCCACTTGAAAATGATGTTATACCAAAACCTAAGAGGTATTTTCACTCATTTTGTTTTGCAGGAGTGTCATTCTGACGTGAAAATGTCTATAAAGCTTCCAAAAGAAAAAGAGATACTTCTTAACTGTCAAAACCTCAAGGGAATGAGGGTATTCTATTGCAGCATGGAACCACAGCACCAGCGCAAGGAAACAGTACAACCTGGCAGTTTACAAATATCAAACAAAATATGTACCTGCTACATGAACAGCTGCTTCGCAAGCAAATTACCAATGGATTTTATTGCCCCCGCACTCATACTGTTTGGGAGTTCAGTAATGCACTGTGTTACATAAGGTATTGTAGAACAAGACAAAAAAATGCAGTACTGTCTGTTTAAGAGTGGTGTGATAAGCTACAGTGTAACAGCCAAGCAGTTACCCAATCAATTTTAATCAATACTGCATTCCTATTCCACAATTATAAGAAGTCAAGGTTTGGGGGGTATCCTGAAACTGTGATAACTGGCATAAATACTATTATATGCTCAATTAGGTGTAAAATACCAACGTATCTGAAAATACACTGAATCAAAGACATGACCCCCATAGAGAACCGTTGGAAACTCCAGTCTACCTTCCTCCCCAAAGGGCTCATGCCAACGAGAGATGAAGGCAGCCAGCCTGTTGTCTAGCTCAGTCTTGAAAACCTCCAGTGACCTAGGTTCCACCATCTTTCTGGGTAACCTTGTGTCAATGTTGTTATTTGCTCCCAGCAAAGAAGTATTTCCCTTACCTCCAGACTAAACTGTTTAATGGACCAAGACCACAGGAACTGCATCTTTTTCATGCAGTAGATTATGTTTAGAGGACACATTTTCTCATAATATCTAATTTAAAAGAACACTATACCAAGCTGCTAAGAGCTGCACATTACTCCCTGCCAGCATCACATATGAACCCTCATCTTTTGAATAAGGCAACCCCCAGGACATACGATTAAAAAGGAAGATGCCCCTGTGGAAGACAACAGCTGATGTGTTTCATTTTAAGCCACCCTAGAGTTTGAAATACTTTTCAAAATTAAATTAGTACTGCAAAATGGCTGTGGGAAGGGAACATGATGTATTATTAAACCTTTTCACAGAAGAATGGGTAAATGGTCTTGCCAATTATGAAAGCTCAAATCAGTGTGACAAATGCTTTTTGTCAGTCATGGATAAAATGGTCTTTTCACACCTCCAGTGCTGGCTGAGTACACAAACATCCCCTGCTACAATGGCAAAGAAATTAAGTAATAGGTTACGACTAAAGGTACATCAGTTGCAGGAAATAACAAAAATCTACCTAAGAAACAAGTTCAGAATAGCATAGCTTAGTGTTAGAACAATACTATTATCTCTTGCTCAAAGATCATCATTGCACGATGCCATCTGAACACCCTGGGTTTAAAGGAGAATTTAACATTTTAGCACAAAGCAACATAGCGGGTCTTCGATCAACTAAAGCCTGACAACTTAAGTTCAATGAGAGAGATACTCCTCAGGGTGGCACTAAGATTTGCTGCAGAGGGCAAGGCATGGCATAACGTATCAGCAGTCTTTCCAGATGCTTGTCATATCACCACAACTGTTCAATGCTGTAACAGAGCACAAAATAGCAACAAAAAACCTACACGCACCAATTCTGTTAAGTGAATAAAAACATAAAAACAGATGGAATTATTGTCACAAAACTGTTCTCTAAGAAACATCTACCAGTAGTACTGTCACAAAATTGTTAAGAAACTTCTAGGAATAGCCTACAAGATAGGTATTAACGTACATACAAGACTTGTTCAGACTTGAAATATAATGGTTATATACTGGACCACAACCACCTGGCTGTGCTGTTCACTCACAACAGCTCACTCCCATTTTCAACACAGCTCATTAGTCAATTAACAAGAGTAAGAGCTATGAATATAGTTCAGCAATACAAGTACTTAAAGGAAAACAACTGTGCAGTAAGATGGAAAGGAAGATAAACAGAGATTACACAAACTAAGGAAACCAGTAGTTTTGGGAAAAAAAGAGATTGAAATCACACCACTTTTACTAGAATAGAGAAACATTAATAACCAGCTAAGGTTATAAAACAAGTACTGTTAAATAGAACTATAACATGAGTAATATTAATTCATCATACTACAACCAAACCAACATAGTGACAGAACTGTTAAAAAAAACAAAAAACACAAAAAATAGCCTTCTGCTAATAACCTGTTTCCAATTAAGTTTGAAAGAATGAAACTCTTTAAATAGCACATGCACCAACCTCGCAGTGATATTCAAATATTGCACTTTCAGTAGTATTAGCCGATTCTTCTGTTTCAGCACGAAGTTTCAAAGGATGAAGACTGCTATTTGACAGAGAGAGAGAGCACGCAAGAGAAAGTGATCTATCAAGCTAATAAAGAATACAAGTGCTGCTGCCCTGGGCAGTTTCAACACAGCACTGGAGAAAACAAAGACTACTAGCAGCGTTGGGACGTGCTCTTTTGAAGCTGTTGAGTAGGCACAAACTTCTGGTTTCAGATCAAGCCTTGTATCTTCAGTGTAAGTTTCCTCTTCTTTGGTCTTGAGTTGTTGTTACGATGTGGTATATTCTTTTCCTGATCTGAACTTGAAGCAGCAGTTTCAGGTGGTAAATTCTGTTCTGTTCCACTTCATACTGGAAAGAGAAAAAAGACACACACTAAGAATAACTTTAACAGAAACTATACAGCCCTAGCTGTTCCTATGAATAGGCACATATCCTCTACCTTAACACTACAGGTTTGATCCACACTAGGAAAAGCCATCTTACAGATGTATTTGGCGTTCCCATTTTCAGTTTTGGTTTCCCAAGAAACTCTACCTCCAGCCAGTGATATGCTATTTCTAATTTTAAACTCTTCAGATGCAGTTACACATTCCAGGAAAGGCCCCAGTTTGTACAACTAAAACAGCAAACTTTTTTTTTTTGATGAATATCAGCATAATTTAATACACAATGTAGTCCTATTATTGCTACTAATAGGTTTATATGGGTGCAGCCCCATAATTAATCAACAAGAACTTGCACACACTTTCAAAATAGCCACATGATACAAAGAGGAGATGAACTAGGACTTCCTGATGATTTTTGTTCTGAAAGGTAAGTCAAAGACCAGCAAAACCCTTAAAGCACCTTTAGCTTTGTATGAAAATAAACAAGCTTCTGAATTATTCCTACAGATGCTATATTCCTATTCTACACAGACCATATGCATGCCGGCACAGCTTGTAAAATAACCACAGAGTCAATCTCTGGCCTTCTTAAACCCCTGTTTACAAACTGTTGATGAAATATAGAAAATATTTGTACAGATAACATAACACAGAAGCCTCTCCCCAACAGCAACTAGATTAACACTTCTCTCCTAATGTTCTGTGGTACCACTTTGTGTTTTCACGGGAAAGCAGCTTAGACAGACTGCCACCTACCACATGAAATAGAAAGCTTATGAAGACAACTACTTTTAAAATAATATTTTTTAAAAAATCAAGCTTTATTTTGAGTTTGTTACTTACTTAGTAAATAAATAAGAAAACAGGGGGAGTGGAGATTTTTGCACATAAATCCTGTTAAGAAGCAACATAGCTGTGAATCTATGGATAAACTAGCATGTTACAAAGCAATCTAAAAGCACGAATCCCCTGAGCATGTAACTCTTCCTGAAGTCATTCCACAAGCTCCGCAATGAATGAATAAAAATATGGACAAAGCCTATTTCCCCACTGTAGTGAGAAACACAATTTTTCATTTTACAATGAGCTTTGAATTTCCTTTAGTGAACTGTGAAGCTGGAACAGTCCACTTAAAAAACAAAAACCATGAATTTAAATGAACACAAAGACATTTTAACTTAGCACAGTGAATGCTGACTGCAGTCAGCCAATCCAGATAAACACTCTGAACCTTCAAAAGCATACAAAGGATGCATGCAAATTCACCAGCTGGTTTTCACAGAAGTTTATATTTCAGCTATCTCCCCTCCATATAAAACATCTTCCTTTAGCCATCAATCAGAACTACTTTGGTCTGTATTAAGCTTTCTTGTCACACCATACATACACAAGAGACTAAATGTGAAACTGAACTAGGGCAGAAATCTAACTCCAGGTACTAAGAAGTATGTGGCGTAAAAGGTTTGCAGTGAAGGACTAAACTATATTAATAAAGTGAAGTAAGAAGACTTACAGCTAATACAAAAATAATAGAATCGCTAGGTTTTTCACACACCTCTTTACAAGATTCAAACAACCTTTATCACTATCTCTTTCACGATAAAACAAACATTCCCCCAAGTTCAACAGAAACTAAGCAGGCACACACCACACCACGGGAACTGCAGAGAAACGTATCATCTTATTATTAAAACACTTCTCTCTCACTTAGTTAGACTAATACTGTTAGAGCTCTACAAGAGCTACCAGTTAGATAAAACTACATTTCACACTTCTGGGGCAGGGAATCTATTATGTTTTCAGAGAACAATCAAAACACCTGTCTGCCCAAAGATGACTAAAACAAATGTTGCCAGGTAATGGCATAAAGACTAAGATTTTCCCTTAAAACCAGATTTGACTCATTTACTACATTCATTACGTTTAATCATTCAAAAAAAAAAAAAAAGGGCAGAAGGATGAAGCAAGCTGAAGTCAAGAAAAAACTGGAAAATAGGTGTGTGCATCTGCTCAAGTTCTTTACTTTCTAATTCAGCTACTATAAATACTCCTCCAAATGGTAAACACCCTGAGCAACTGCCCACCCCCTGGGTCACAGCGGACAGTGCATTTCTGTATTAACAGATTAGTGCAAAGGCAACGAAAAGACAGAGCTGGATTAGTCCTGTTCTTGGAGTCTTTCTGATGTGGATTTTGCTAGATGACAGTAAGTCACACTGAGTTGTTCATACCTTGAAATCTATACAGCCTAGCAGTAAAGACTGCCAGATTAGACGCTGCTTTGATTCTCATTTTCTTCACACAGACAGGTATGTATCTGTGAGAACATGTATTTCACAGAATTAATGCAAGGGCTTCTAGATGTAATCCCCTCTTATGTATGATTAAATTTAACAGAGATAAAACTTTGCATTTTTATTATGAATTCACAGCTCAGTTGTCTGAAAACACTGGGAGGTAACGCCATTGCACATCTGAGGCAGTTATCAGATGGAAGTACCGAGTACCATCTCTTGAACACCCCAACCAAAATACGACAGCAGCAGTATCAGCTACCCGGTATTTACTAGATTACTGAAGACATCTACATAAAAAAAAAAAAAAAAAGAACTACAGAGAAAAAAAAATCCAACGCCAATTTAATGCTTTTGGTATCGTCGATAGAAAACAAAACAAAAAAAAAAAAGCATCAAAAGCAGAGCTCGGGGAAGGGCCCCGCGCCCGCTTTAACCCCGCCGAGCAGCACCGAGCCCGCCCCGCACCGCCGGCCTCGGGGCGCCGCCAGCCGCAGGAGGCGCGCACCAAGATGGAGGCCGCGAGCTCCGCCGAGGGGCGGCGCCAGGAGCCCCGGGCAGCGGCGCGCCGAGCGGGGGCAGCGGGCGGCGGGCAGCACATCGCCGCGGGCGGCGCGGGGGCTGCCGAGGGGCCGCGCCGGGCTCGGCCGCAGCGCTGGGAGGGGCCGGGGCCGGGGCCGCCCTCCCCGCACACAAAGGGGGCGATGGCGGCCGCTCCCCGCACACAAAGGGACAGGGCCGGGGCCCGGCTCTGCGGCGGGCGGGGCCGCGCGCGGGGCACGCCGGGAGCTGCCGGCCGCCACCACCGCCCCCCCCCCCCCCCCCCCTCGCGGCCGCCCCTCCCCCCAGGAGGCCCAGCGCCGAGGCCTCGCCCGGGGCCTGCCGGGACCCGTAGTCTCCCCCCCGCGGCGCCCCGGCCGAGCTGGCGCCTGTCGCCCTGCAGCCCCCGGCAGGCCCCGCGGCGCGGCGGGCCGCGCGGCACGCCGGGAAAGCGAGTTCCGGAGCCGCCGCCGCCGCCGCCCCGCCCCCGCGGCCGGGCGGGACTCCGGCCCCCCGGGGCCCCCGCGGCGGGGCCTCCGCCCGCGGGACGCCGGGAAACGTAGTGCGCGCGCCGCCACGGCCCGGCGGCCCCCGGCCCCCCGTCGCCGCGGGCCGCGGCCCAGCGGGCGGCCCGCCCCCGCCTCGCGCTCTCCCCGCTCAGCGCGGCCGAGGAGCGGCGCGGGGCAGCCTCCCCCCACCGGGCCCGCGGCGGCAGGCGGGGCGCGAGGCCAGAGTCGCCTCCCGCCTCGCTCGCCGCCCCCCGGAGGCCCCCGGTTCCCCCCTCGCTCGCGCCAGCGCCGTCTCCGCCGCGCCGGGAGCCGCCGCCCGCCGCACTCACCCCCCCAGCTCAGCGCCCCCGCTCCAGCGCCGCCATGAGCAGCACGGCCCAGCACGTAGGAACAAATCCCGGCCTCTCGCGAGAACGCGGGGCGGAGCCGCGCCTGCGCCCGCAGCGGCCCCAGCAGTCGCATGGTGCGCATGCGCGCCGGGCACCAGGCCAACGGCGCAGCCCCGCGCTGCGCAGCGGCGAGCGCCCGGCGAGCTCCGCCCCCCCCCTCCTCCTGAGCGAAGGGGGCGGGGCCGGGCGGGGGCCGGTCCCGGGGCTCGCGAGGCCCAGGGGAACGCGGCGCTACCGGGGGCAGGCCCGGTGCCGGGGAACAGCCCCGCCTGCGGCGGAACCCTCGCCTCGGGGCCCGGGGCCCGGCGCGGGGCCTGTGCGCCCCTGCCGCCCACCCGGGCACGCGGCTCGGCAGCGCTGCCCTGGGGGCTCCTGCCTGCAGCCTCCAGCCGGAGCCCAGCCCGTTCGCACCGAAATCCCCGGCAGCCCTACCGCCTGCAGGCATGCCGGCACGGGCTGCGTTAACACACAGCAGAAGTAGGACAGCAGCAAGTGAACAAATTTCAGCTTCCTGCTAACGCAGCTACTGCTGATTAGCAATGACCTCGTTAGTCAGAGCAACGGCTGTTTAGTTTCCAATTCTTCAGGCTGCATGACAATGAGCCTATGAAAAGAACTTTAAACTACACGAGTGTATCTAAGGTAATAAACCACCATCACACACTTCAGATCACATTAATTTTAAAAAGATGAAATGCAACATTTTTGGTCTTTGTAATGTTTCTTTTGAGCATCAAGGTAAAATGAGAATGGGGATGCAAAAGATTTCAGTAGAGGCAGAAGAGACAGAAATATTGCCAGGACTCACAGAACAGAATACACTTCAGAAAACACTGCCCACAGTTACTTTTATTCCCTCTTAAATAATTTCTAATAACAAAGAACTGTACACAAGAACACTCCTGTACAAGAATCCCTTGTATCTTCTGAACAATTTTTCTGGATATTTCAAAGGACTGCAAGGAAATGCCTCTTATTAAAAAAAAAATAAAATTCACCTTCTGCATCTATCGAAATTTTCATTTGGGAAAAAAAAAAGGCATAAAACTTTAATATTGGAAATAAGATGTTTACTGTTCTTGAAGGATTCTTTTGATCACCAATAGAACAAAAATATTTATATTAAAATGCCTTTAAAAATATCACAATATTGAAAAAGTCCTGCAACATTGCAACTCTAATTTCACCCAGTGTAGCATTTTTGCAATAAATACATAACACATCTGTCACTAGACTTACCTGCGATATAACATTAAAATCTGTCTGTGTGGTTGCTTTTGGTTTATTCTATTTGAGGCAGGCCACAGTTCGCTCTTCCTGAGGTCCAAAGTGGTGTAAGGCCAAACAGCTTTGATGTGAAAATGATGTGTTCTGCTGTGTGTACTAGACCGGCTCGACTGCACTGCCTTTGGATCAGAGCTAGCCAGTATTCACATACCTTGGAGCACAGCTAAGGACAGAACAGGTCTACCCACAAAAAAGTGTCACATGCAACATCCTTCAAAAATGCAGAGGTGTGAGGAAGGGTCATTAACTCCAGTCTTCCCCTCTAAATCAAGGCAAAGTATACTCCTTATGTGAGTTACTAATTAAAGTGCTCAATTGACTATCTGTTATTCTCTCAATCTACCTCTAAGCAGTTGTTCAAGAATGTTAATCCGGCCAAATACTGAGTGCTAGCTCTTCAAAGCAAAGCAAAAGCTGTGTGCCTGCTTTGTGCAGGCAAAGCAAAATGCATACCTACTATTTACAATGTAGTTTGCAAAGAATTTCTTATTCCTTCTATCAAATAAAACCACCATAATCTGCGTTATGTTCTCTAGCTACTGACAAAGTAGATTTATGTTCTATCTGCACTGTTGGAATTATTAACTAAAGCTCATCAAAAATAACACTCATGAGAAGAAATAAACTATCACAAGGGAGTACACACCATGAATACTTCATTGTTGCAATTAATAAGACAGAGCAGCAGTGCAAGCTTCTGCCATCAAGAGTATGCAATTTGAGACAAATGCAGGGAAAGCAGGCCACACACTTTGAAAGATAAAACAATCACAAAAGGAAACACCTGAAAGAACAAATTACAAACCATCCTTCCTTGTTGGTGGTTTCATAGTAGTCTCTGAAGTCAAGATTTGGAGGTAACATTATTTTGTAACCTAAGCTTCACTGTCAGGCAGATCTTCTCTCCCCACCTCAAAAGACTCTTTGCTGATTGACAATAGTTCACGCAGCTCTTTGTTTTCAAGCTGCAAAATCAATATTTTTGCTGAAATAGAAATGAGCTAATTCACAATTAAAGGTCTATAATCTTTAAGTAGCCCCACTCCACCACCACTAAATAAAACTCATTTTGTAACACATGCGTTAATGCGGTGCTGGCAAGAGGGAAACCACATCATTTGAAGCGTATCTTTAACTTCTCTCTTTAAGATGCTTCAAACACCAAGAATTGAAAATAAACAGAACCCATTCCTTATTTCCCAACCCCACCCACCCTTGTCCCAATTTGATTGTGTCAAGGATTTATAACATAAAAAGAAACCCCAGAGCAAATCTAGAGGCTCCAAAACTTTGATATATCCCTTAGCAATTATATTGGTTCTTACCTCCAGCTGAGCCAGCTTCTCCCGAACTTTAAAGAACTGATCATCATCGACTTGTATAGCTTTTCTCATCACTTCTCCCATCTCACATATTCTATCTATCTGACTTTCAATTTCCTGAAAGACACAAAAAAAAAATACATTCAATACCTTCAGGCAAAAGCAGTAGCAATTTATTCCCTGCAAGTAAGCTACTTCTTCGTTTTTGGACTATTCTCAATTTTAATCCTTTCCTTCCAGGAACCTGCAATCCTTTCTAACCTATACAACATTTCAAGACATGTACCACATCGTCCACTACTATCAGTCATCAATGAAAGCAGTGAATAGAGTAACATCAGTCAGCAAGACAGAAGGCACCCTTATGTGTCAACATGGAAGTCATCTGAAGTGTGAGAAGGACAGAGACAACAGATTCAGGTGAATAGAATTAGTGTGCCGCAAGTTTCACATTGTTGCGTTAGGAAAGCCTGACTGAATTTTTAAGAACATCTAATATAAAAGCAAGTAAGACTTCAAGACTAAATTAAAAAATGAAGTAAACAGTCTCATCTTAGAAGGAATTAAAAAAAAAAAAGGAAGTCAAGCAAAAGACTAGAGTCTACTGGGATGGTTTTTAACAGAATCAGTCTGGAAATAGTTCTAATCCTTTGGAAGATGCATTTTGTTGAAGGTCAGAAATGCACATTAATGAACACAGAAAAATTCCAATGTGTAATACAGTATTAGTCCCTATCCAAAGGACATTCAATTTCAACATATCACATGTAAAGAGGAACTCAAATATGTAAACACAAAAATATCTGATATTTCAATTCATAAGAAGTGAAGATTTTGCTTAGATGTTGAAACAATCTTGGGATATTCCATCGTAGTGTAAGAGATTACTCCAGTCTTTTCATCTTGGTATTACTGTGGCACTACAATGATGCAAAAGCAGTGCCTGAGAACAGTGATAGAAGCTTTGCTCAAATAGTAAGTCTTGATGGACAGAGCAATTGGTGTACCTAACCAAGCAATGGAAACAAGACCTACTATACTACTTAACTTCAGAAGACCTAAGCAACACAAAACAGAGAAGAAATTAATTGCCAGATATCACTACAAAGAATTTAACTGAATCCTACTGCGATTAAAAAAAAAAAAAAAGAAAGAAATCTTAGCTTGCTTATTCTCTAACCACGTAAACATGCATTTAACAAATCCCTAAATTAATAAGCTTTAATCAGATAGCTAACGTATTGTATTATTATTTGGCACCTAAATGTACACCAACCCGCAGTTATCAGTAGCCACAACTTGCACCGCTGAAGTCAAGACATGGACAAAGGTACACTTACACTGAGTAAAAAGCAAGTGGAAATGATGATTTCTTAAGACCTAAACATGTGGCAGCTAACAGAGATTTTGGAGGTTCTTCTTCCTTCGTTACAACTACTGAACAATAACAAGAACAACTCTGATGCGTGAGCTTCTCTAAAGTGACAACAAAGCCGTTATGGCTTAATGCATGGAATGCACCATCTAGTGTGCAGACAACGAGCCTCTGAGCAGGCCACAAAAGGCTTATGCTTTTCAGTGTCCTTTGTGACATATCACAACTTTTATGCTGTGAAAAGAATAGAGAAGAAAATACCAAAGAGACGAGAGTTTCAGAAAATGTATTTTGGAGCAGAGACATTCCATGCAAGGAGAAGGTGGTTTCCTGAAAGCAAGCAAGAAAAAGCGAACAAGTTCCTCGTTCCCTCTTCCGTCCCCACCTTACCACAGAATTCGCCTGATGAACTTTCAAGACCGGTTCTGCGTCTTCGCCTTTTCTGCCTTGCATTATCTGTAACATCTGCTTTCTGTACTTGCTCATGATGAGCTCTAACGCGTCCTGGTGCTCCTCCAGCGAGATCCACAGCGCTGCGAAACACAGAACACGGCGCGGCGTTGCCACGAGCTAGCGGCGACTCACACGGCGCAGCCGGCCGACGCCCAGGGGTCCCCAGTGCCCCCCCCCCCCCCCCCCCCATCTCCCGAGACGCCGCGCACCCGGGGCCCCCCCGCCCGCCCCCCGGGCCCCAAGCCCGCCGCCCCGCGGCTCCCCCCCTCCCCGCCCCCCGTCGCGGCGGGCAGGCTCACCGCGGTTCTCCCGGCGCAGGTCGCGGATCTGCGTGTTCTCCTGGGACAGGAGCGCGTGTGGCCGCAGCCGGGCCGCGTCCGCCCGCTCCTGCCGGAGCGCCCCGGCCCGGCCGAGCCGCCGCGGGCCCCGCCGTCCCGCCGGCCGCGCTCACCTTCTCGGCCGGCGCCGCGCCCGCCTCCCTCATGGCGGCCACGCGCTGGTGCAGCACGGCCGACTGCTCGATCAGCGACTCGGCCGCGGTGTCGTGCTCCTTCAGCCGCTCCAGCAGCGTCCTGGCGTCCGTCAGGATCTTCTCGATGCTGCAGCTCATGGCGCGCGCCGCCGCCAGCCGCGCTCCTCCCCTCAGCCCCGCGGCTGCGGCCCCATGCCCGCCGCCGGCAGCGGCCACGCGCGAGCCCGGCCGCCGCGCGCCGCCCGCGGGCCCCGCCGCCGCCGCTTCCGGGCCCGCCCACCCCGCGCCGCCGAGGCGCAGGCGCGGCCCCGCCCCGCCCGGTGTCGCCGCCTGGCGGCCGCTGAGGACAGCGCTCGGGGAAGCGACGGGCGGGGGGGGCGGCGCGCGGCTCGCAGGCGGTCGAGCCCTGGGGGGGGGGAAGAGCGGGGAGCGGGGAGCGGGGCCGGGCGCAGCGGGAGCCGCGTCGGGAGCGGCCGAGGCCTCGCACGGGCTCGGGCCCTTGGCCGCGGTGAGCCGAGGCTCGCGACGCTGCGTTCCGGCGGCGGGGGAGCCCGGGTGGGAAACGTCGGGCCGGGGCCTTGTGTGAAACGGAGCAGCTCTGCAGCAGGGCGCCCGGCCCTGACCTGAGGGCGGGCCCGGTTATCTGCCCCAGCGCTCCCTTCAGCGCTGTGTGATAAATTCCGAGCTGAGGTCTGCCGAGCTGTCTCCTTATCTAAGACTCGTGTTTGTCCCTTTTAACAGTAAACATCCTCTACTCGAGTTAAAATAACAAGCTTTGAAATGCTGACTCGGTTCTCGGTTATTTATTTGCTAACTAAAACTACTGTTAGCGATCTGTGATGTCCTTGATGCAAAACGTAACCTTGTGCAGCTTTTTTTTTTTTTTTAATTGTTTAATATTACCAACTTCATTGCCAGTGTTTCCAACAATAATGTTCTAGTGGGACTCCTGCTACCTTGAGTCATCTTTCAAGTGTACATCCTCTTTAAGACAAACCCAAGAGAAGTATTTATGATGCTTCAGCAAATAAAAGTTTCAATATGATCCCAGAGATAATCAAGTGGAGTGAAGAAGCGCTGAATAAGATAATTGTGTATAAACAACAATTTCATAGTACTCATACAATCCAGAATAGAATAGAGTAAGCAGATGTGTTGGGACTACTTTATCAGACTGATTAATTAATAATGTACAAGAGATGTATTTTGTAAATTTGGGCGAGGTAATGCTGCTTTATAGTAATTACTGCAGAAGTAAATGTCCAGACAATGCTTTATAGTGTGCTTTCCCTTCTAGGACTTCCAGTTTTTCTTCCTATTAAGGACTAGTTAAAAGTTTAGTTGGTATCAGAGTTTCTTTTTCACAGTGGGTGATTTGTGAACATTTGGAAAACTTAAACTATTTTCTTTATAATTCTGGTTATGGAACCAATGGGCAAAAGCTGGATCTGGCCTAAGATGGACGTGACATCCCTAAGCTGTAGCCAATGCTCATTGCTGGTTCCACTGTCCCTGCAATTACATCCTCAAGTGACCCCACCCATGCAGCTCAGCACCTGCTGTTGCTTTGCTCTGCCTGTTCCAGCTTCATGGCTGCCTTTAAAGCTTCTGCCGGTACATCAACTCTCTCAGTGCCTATGTGTAGCCACACAGGAATAGCTGTTACACTTACATGGAATGATATAGATGTACCAGTTGAGTATCTTCCCTGCCTTTCAACATATTCAACATGACACCAAATATGCAATCTCTAAGGTTCTGATTCTGTTTTACAGGAGGCAGGCCCTCAGCACACTGTTCAGAAGTGTAGCACTATAGATTCCAATTCACATCTACTAGGAAATCAGCTAAAGAAACAACCTGTCCTATGCTGCATGAATGGTTGTTGCACCTCAGCAGAAGCTGCACCTATATTGTGTGTCTCAATATCTGCTTTTGGCCTCTTCTGTTACTTGCATTTTTACTTGCCTTTGGGCACTGTCTTACGATTTAAAAACTCAGTTTTCCTTGGCTTCAGAGATAACATCCTGGCCTTTCATGCAGAGTGGAGACAAGCACGGGAGATGAAAGCGTCAGCACTGATGCATCAGACTTACACTTCAGGATTGGTGCAGCCCCTCTGTGGGATTCTGACTGCTTGGAATAAAATTGAAGAATGGGAAGAAGATGGAGTCTACGACAACACCACCACAGAGCACGTAGTCATGTGTTCTCACTCAAGGATGCGGTTCATTCCCTCTCCAGCAAATCTTTTAACACAGAATCATTTGTTCAGCTTCCAAAGGATGGTAGAATGAGCTAGTGTGGCGCCAGGACACAGATCAGATCTCAGTAGGACAAAGCTCCTTGATTTAAATGCTGGGAATGCTTGTCACCAGAACTTCTAGTATGTAGCAACAGCGCTTAAACAAATCAACGGATGAGCATTTTCAGAGTAGTGGTGTCTTTTAATTTCTTTGGCTTATCACATCAGTTCTGTATAAACTGAAGAGAATGTATAAATTTGGCCTCTCAAACATTTTAGTGTTTAACTTTAATTCGATTAAACACTTATGTATGTGTACAAAGTGAAAAATGAGGTTACTAGAGGTTAATGCTTTAATGCTTTTAATAACTCTTGACCACATGGCTGTATTTTGTCAAACAGAACATGGATTTGTTCTAGCAGGAAAAGTATATGCTAGATAGGAGATACTAAAGCCCTCCAAAACAGCAAAGCTGCTACATAACCAAAAACATTTCTAGGCCATCTTGGAAAAATCATAACTAGTATTTCTGTGATAAAATAGATAACATTTCTGAGTATAGTTAATTAGGAGACTCCTGCTCACAGTAGGAGAATCAAAAAGGGAAAGACTCTAGACAGACAAGAAGCACAGAAAGAGTGATTAAAGGGACTGATATTAGACAGCACAGAATCCTCAGCACAACATAATGTCTAAATCTGGGGTGAGTTCAGGCATTGGTCCTGAGGATGTTAAAACAATTTGCACTAGGTAATGCCCTTAAGTTACCCAGAAACTGGCAATGGAGTAAATGATAGATAAAAATGCACAGAGGAAGTGACCAGTAGGAAAAGGCAACATCTGTGACAGAGATTCAGGGGCATCTAAATGCTGGAAATATATAAATAAAAGACATTTTTTTCTAGGAGAATTCTTGAGTTTGGGGTAAAATCATGTTAGTCATGACTGTGACCAGCACGGTTCAACAAATGTTGGCCAAGTCTCTGAAAGCACAAGTCAAGTAGTAATGCAGCAGAGACTGGCTTTTCCAAAGCTAAAAGTGATATTCCTCATGTCCTTCTTTGACAAATTTGGTGTCTAACTGTCACATAATTCAGCAGTTACAGCTTGCTTAAAAAGCAAAGCAGACTTGTCTCACACACTCCAACACTTTCATTGTTTGCTTTTAAAAGTAAGTGATGTTAACATATTAATCATCATCTACTGTCACAGCTTCACCAATATTGCTCTCAACAAAATCTGTAGCACAGCGACTCATAGACCAGGAGGCCAAGTAAATCATCTTTTTGTACTTCCTAGCTTATACTTCAAGGTAGATTACTGTTGCGTAAAGCGGACATTCTGTGGCGAGATATCACTACGAAGCTCGGTCTTGTAGTTCATCTTTATTTTCCTGCTTTGATAAATCTGAAGAGTCACCCATTGCACCACAGTATTTACGTTTATGAGTCTAATATTCTTTTTACTATTAAAACAAATGTCCATCAGATGGAATGCAGCTTGGAAGAAAGGGAAAACATTATCATCGATAAACTGATATGACCACCTATTTTACTCTCTCAGACGCAGGACTCCTCCGCTGACTAATGGATTCCACAATAATTATGTTGTAATGCTGAGTGGCAAGATACTGTCCTTTATGCAAATCAGGTCCAGGACTTGGCTTCTCTTTGCTGACCTACAAAGACTTGCAATGACTTAAGAATCTCAGTGTGTAAAGTTAAATTTGCAAGTGTTCTCTTTGAACTATAAATTCTGAGATCATTGCAGGACACTGTAATTGACTTTTGGTTGTTATCTTTATTTTATTTCACATCATGCCTTACTGAATACTGTTGCACTAAAGTTTTGCATACAAAATATTCGTGAATGTGCTGAATACAAAAAAGGACAAATTCTTACTACTGTAGCTTCTGGACCTGATATTATCTTGAAATGTGTGATCCCACAATCAGAACTACCACATACAACAGATACACATCCTATTCAAATTAAATCTTTCCCTCTATTGAGAGCCACAAGGGTAAGATAACACTGATATCCAAAAAAGGTTAATCGTGAGGCTTTGCACTGTTTTTCAGCCAGGACTGGGGTTCATTCATGCCATGAAGAAAATTGTAACAGTGCCAGAACCACTGCACATTTCGAATATTAATAAATAATCCAGAACAGAGGGCAAACAGAAAGTTTGCAGGTTTTTCATTAATTTTTCAATAAATTCTAAATGAAAGTAGCTCTTAGAACACTAATACCATTATTGGTATTAGTCTGCCAGTGTATTTTTTACTGTATTTTATTTGTAAAGTAAACTCAAACTTCTGTAAACTCAAGTAAAGCTTGAGTTTGAGCATTTTAGTACATAAGCTTTTTGTTCATATTCTTCTAAATATCATTCAGAACAATTTACAAGCAGGTGAGACTTAATCCTATAATGAAAATAATCTACATTTCAACATAACCTTTAACTCACATATAACAACAAATACTGTAATTAGCAATTAGTTTTCCAAAGTATCTCAGTTGTTTAGTATTTGACTCTTGCTTTCATCAGTTAATGATTTACAGTAACGAACTGGAACATCAGTGTTTTGCACTGAAATGGCCAAAATAGTTGTCCAGGCATCATTGCCCTCATGTGACAGACTTCAGATGTTTTTGTGAGAAGTTAGCCAAAAGCAATAGACAATGCCATCACTTCTGTTTAATTTTTACTGAAAAACAGCAACAAAGTGACCATAATGACTTGTAGTCAGAGTCACAGTAGCTTTTGAAGGACTGTTATTTTGTTGAGATTTTGCCCTTTGTTTAAGTTTTGTTTGACAAATGCTTAATAAATGAGCAGAAGAGGCGGTTTATGTTTCATTAATGAGGTTGATAGTGGTTAATTACTGAAGTTACGTAAACAATCCAATACCAGATCAAGCTGAATTGGTCAGTTATGTAGAGAAGACCCAGCTGGAGTAGATACAATTTCCTTTAACTATTCAAACACCGAGCCAGTTACAGGGATTGAGAATCTCTGGTCCTGATGAATACAGAATTCTGCATGTCCTGAAAATGAAATCTCTCAACAGGCACTGATGCAAGCAAGATTTCTTTGGATCTGCAGTTTCAGCACTCAAAAAAATCTTAGACCTAACTGCATTAAGGCAGACATTCTGTGTAGATTAGGCTATGCATAAATTCACAGCTTATACTAGCGAAGGAAATGAGACACCAAAAGCAGTGCAACGTAAGGTCTCAGGCCAGACTGATGATGTGTGCACCTTTTACTCCACCTCAGTGGCACTTCTGGATTTCCACTTAGGATAGGATCTTGTTCAGATAATATTTTCAGTCTGTATCTGTAAGTAACATTTTTTTACTCATCTCTAGTAAAGCATGTTTGAAGTATCCTATTTAAAAGGCATTAGGCGCATTACTGATCAGAGACTTAGAAGACATATCAAAAGTCTTTTCTCCTCTTTACAGATCAAAGTAACACTGAGAGAACAATTCTTAATTTGTGATGTAGCCCAACTTGATTTTTTAAAGTCTCCAGTGATTAAGATTGTACAGGCAACTTATACTGGTGTTATTTTTGCTGCTATAAATGTTAACTCTAGAACCTAAATTAGATCTTCCTTACTCCTAAATAAGCTTTTTATTTCTTGCTGTATTCTTTAAAAGCATGGAAAAAAAAAAAAAAAAAACATTTATTTTTCTCTTCTTTGCAGCAGTTCTTTATGTGGTCAAGTGGGCTCTCAGATCTTCCATTTTTATGGTCATTACAAGCTTTAAATAGAACTGATCTGTTAAAATAATTTAAAATATATGTACTTAAGATGGACTAGTTCTCTGGTCTGAATCACTGCATGACTGTGCAAAATAGTTTTATTACCACAGTTACAAAGATGGCATGTGGGTTGAAGTAAATGGCTATGTGCTATTACTTAATGTGGTACTCTAGTTAATTTCTACTCCACCTAAGTTTTAGGTTCTTGTATACATTTTTTTTTTTTTTAATTTAATTTACTCCCAATCCACTAGATTTTATAGCACTGAGCAGAATCAGGATTAGATACCTTCTAAAAACCTGTTTTCCAGACTTAAGTCTCTTGAAGTCAATAGGTTTTAAATACCCACATCGCACTGGTGTATTTCAATAGCTTACCAGTAAACTATCTTCTATCACAAAATAAAAACAAGCGAGCAAACAAAAAACTTTAAAACTCAGTAGTACTTAAAAGCTAAAGATAACATTTGATAAAGCCTTGCTTGTTTTTCAGCTTTCACTGGGAAGGCTGAAAAGGTGGATGAAAAAGCCAACGGCACTTGTGAAAGAAATGCTATGAAAAATATCCATTTTAACAACTGTAAGATCTTCATTTTTACTATTAAAGGTAGGTTTGTTTGTTATTGTTGTTGTTTTTGACATCTTAGCTGCTGAGTAAGTTTGCTTTTACTGGGAAGATAAATGCTGACAAATTACATTTGCAAGATTGTTATCTTTGTCCCTACTTCATAATCTATGTGTTCCAAGCCCATTACCACATGTGATCAGTACAAAGCTTCTGAAAGCTCAAAAAAAAACCAAACTGTAAGATGATCAATATAGCATTTGTGAGTCAATCTTTTTTGTTCTTGCAAGCCACGTTCAGCAATTCCACCTCCAAAGACTCAGTCACAGATTCCCAAATGGTGCTAGAATACACAGAAACAAGTAACATACACTTCTTGGGAGCCTATGAACACGGCTCCCCTTTGAATGGTAATGCCAGTTTGCTGTGTGTTATGCCACAGATCTATAAAAACCTGTTGTCTCCAGAAGGCTATCGTAAGTGACTGCAGTAAGAAAACCAACAGGACTTATTTTTTCTCTTTGCCATGTAAATTGTGAAATTTTTTTCTGGGGTTAATTGAGAATTGCTCCTATACAGAAGAAAGGTGACCTCCTCCTGGTCTTATTAGCTAAACATTTGCAACCTGCTGTGCATCATGTTAGGCAGCAAGCTTAATGACAGTGTGATAAAAGAGTGCATGCCCTAACCAAAAGACCACATCTTACATCTAGGACATGATGAAAACCCCAACCCCAAATTGTAATGATTAAATGATTAGAAATTATTCATAATGGAAATACTTCTATTTTTTTTTTTAAGGACTAATTTTTGCAAAATTAGTGGCCACAACATTTGCTAACAAGTCATTGCCTGTTATAGAGGCATGCAGGAATCCATCTGCACAGGTATGTCAGAATTAGAAAATGTAGAACAAGGTGAGTGTTTTGTGTTTCAAATAACTGACTTAATCAACTGTTTCCTAACTCAATTACTATGTCATGTAGATATATCAAAATAATGTTATTGCAATATTTTCCCTGCCAAAGCAATGAACATCATCCATTAACACTCGGGCATGTCAACGTTAGGCAATCAAAATGGGAGAACTTTAAATTCTACCAAGAAAGCAAAATACTTTGTAATCAGACAGGGAGAACTCTGGGAAACAGTGACGTGAAGGTCCCCATGGCCCCTGTCCCTGATGACCCAGTTATTATTTGATTTATGTGGTCTTGCAGCTGCCCTTACTTCGACCCCAGGAAAGGCTGTGTGGGAAGTTCGTGTCTCAGAGCTGCAGCATTGCTCTGCAGAGCGTCTGGAGCCAGTGTATGCACAGAAACTGATAAATAGGGAAAAGGCCCAGTTTGCTCCAGCTGGACTCAGAGCTAGGATCATTGCTACAGCCACACGGACTTGCTCTTGAACTACCGTAAGTATTTAATTTACTTCTCATGATGCTCTGGGATTATAAACTATTGCTATAGCCATGAATCAATTTGCCAGGTAAAAATATTTCAGGCATTGTGGATTTTTCATTTTCTTTTTAAAATACTGACTAAATTAATTTATAAAACACGCACTTTTAAATTAAGTATCCTAGCTGTCAAGAACTTGTTCCAGCAGTATTTCATTTAACATACAGAATGCAGTAACTTTTTAATTCAGTTGTTTCCCTTCTCCAAAGTACTAGCAAAGCAATAGGTTTAAAAAAATCTCTCACCTCTTACTTTACAATATATATGTATATAAAATACACCTTTGCAACAAATATTCATGAGGTAATAATTCAAAAAAAATTTCAAGAAAATTGAAACGTAGTCAATTAGTGAAATAAAACATATCTATTACAGAACGTATTCAGAAGGTTATTTCATGACAAGAAAGGAACATATTTAATGGAAAGAAAAATGGGTTTTCTTCAGACAGAAGCTTTGGGGAGCGTCGTAGCACTTTAAATCTGGGAGAAACAGATGAAATTTTAATAATGTGTATTAGTTGCATATGGCATCAATCAAGTGATCCTAGAACTTTCCCTGCAAAACCACTCTTTAATTACAGATGTAATCAGTGAATTGCTTGAGTGAAATTGAATCTATCACCTGGCATTGCACATGGTAGCCACTGATTGTGCTCAATTTTTTTTTTCAGTTTTATGTTTAAATTTCACAAATTAAAAAATAAAAATAGAAAATTAAGCGATGCTTTCCAGAAGCAAAAAAGTACTGTGATTACAACAGAGATTGAAACGTACTGCCTAGTTACACTACGTGTTCATTAACATGCCACACAGCATGTTAAATAAATATTGTAGACCTTCAGCTTGAGTTCCTAAAATTCCCTGCAAACAAGAAATTTCCCTATGACTCAACTGTCAAAATATTTATGATAGCAGTTAAAGTACTGTCAATACATACCTCTTAAAGAGCTCCTCAGAGCCTCTTATAAAAGCAGTATGTTTTGCATCCTAATAAATTTGATAATAGAGGTTGATAAAGTTACTTTGTAATGGTATTTTATAGAAAAAAAAGTATAAAAGTCATCTTTTTTCCCCCATAAATAGTAATAAACAGTAATTGTTTTGAAATTCTGTTCTACTTTAATCAATTTACTTTTTTTTTTTTTTTTTTTTTTTTTTCTTTAATGGCTTCCATAAAGAAGCCCAACTGAAAAGTCTTTCAAAAGTCTTTCAGTTAGGCTTCTTTATGGAAGCCATTAAAGAAAAAAAAAATCATCAAGATTGTTAGTAGTCTAACTTTTCAGTTAGGACTACTAACAATCTTGATGAATTTCTGTATTAGATGGATAACTAACCCTTTGAATCAATTCACATTACAGTTTATATTGAACACTATCAGTTGAGAAGACTGATCAGTGTCAGAACTAAACCTGTAAAAGTGCAACATTTTCAAAAATACTTCAGCAACTTATACTCTAGGTTACGTCTTCAGAAGAAGGAAAAAGAATCTCTCAGCTTGTAAAGGCTTTTAAAATGATAATAATTAAAAAGTAATCCTCAAATGATCTGGATTTCACAAATTAAAATATAGCAACTCGGAAGTAATTGTGAAGAAGGAAAAGCAGGGCACAGCACGTCTTTATGCAGATGAAATTTATTTTCAAGTCAGTATGTCTGATAGAGGACTCAGAACTGTATTACTACTTGTGATTCTATGAAACAAGTTATTAAAAATGCAGCTTCTTTTGTTTTCAGTTATTCCCACCTTTCCACAAAATTTTAAGCTAAAGACCTTTCTGTATCATACCTGGGGACGTATTTTTTTTTCTTTCCCTTTTAAAAGCACATATATACAAAAAGTATGGCTATATTTTGAGTAAATATAAAAGACAAAAACAAACATAAGATATTTTGGTTTGGGAATGGCATGACTGTAATTGACCAGAACACCCAAGGCTCTTCCCCTAATATGATTTCAATTTTGTCCAAGTTTTATGTTTTGAAAATTACAACTGTATACTACACGTATACTACATCCTGCCGAGCATTCCACAACTTCACAGTGCATAGCTCATCTGTGTGCGCATGGAGAATTTACTTGCTTGCATGGCAAAGGGTTACTGAACGCATATGTGGGCTGAAAAAGTGTCCTTGAGGTCACGGTTCATTTCTAGTGAGGTGTTAGGGATTAGGGATGGCTACTGAACTTCTGAGAGATCAGTACATAAAAATCACAACAGTTAAGCAATGTCTGAAGTTTGGAGGAGGCTTCTGTACTGCTGACTGACTCAAATAATAGAGAGAATAATTCAGTAAGGCAGAAAGTGTAACATGTGGTTTTGACAGCCAATCCTACAAATCACCAAAGCTTTCCTGTCCTATCTTGCTTTCTATACCTTTTGTTTTAAAAGGATCCGTGCAATTTTATATCAGAAGAACAAGCTTGTTAACACTAAATTCTCAAATGTCAGAAAATGGAACAGTTAACATTTATACACATAGGTACTATGATCATTGCATCTCATTTCAAGATGGTATAGCATTCCTCAAATAACCACTGGATTTAATATTAATACTGCTATGACATTCTCTTAGTTTAAGTTTCAATTTACAAAATTTCATTCTAAGCTGGGAATTCCGTGGTTGCAGCTGCTACTATTAGTCATAAAAATCAGTAAGAAGGGCTAACTCCTCAAATCCATTATCAGTCAATCTCCTAAATTGAGGAAACCTTGCCTAACGAAAGTTCGATTGCAAGATTTAGGGTACTTAATTAACTGAACAACTTGCATTTGGTAATATGTCCTTCATACTCCCCATGTGACATTTGTGTTAGACTGGATCAGTGTCATTTTACTGTAGCTTCTATTTTTTTATTACTTTTATTTAAAGGAACCACTGGAATCCAGAAACACATCTCTCCACACATTTCTGAAGAAAAATGCAGACTTTGCCCAGGCCAAATGGATCTGACTGATAAGGACCTCATGATTCAGTGAGTCATTTCTCTTTCAAACAAATATTTACTAGCAGAGATAACAAAAAAAAAAAAAAAAAAGGCATTCCATCCTCACTGTATCTTTTCACCTTCTGCTGGCAGCACAAAGCGAAGTGTTTAGTTCCAAAGATATGTCCGGTTTTGGGGAAAGGGACATATGTTTTTAAGGAAACAACTTCAGTTCAGACTCCCTGAAATGATATTCATTTTCTCAGCTGTAGCTAGGTATAGGTATTGCATAAAATCTAATATGTGAGTCTTTTAAGGAAGATCTTTAAACACAGTTTGCGTTAAATTCTGCAAGGGGCAGATGTAGAGAGCCCTTGTGCATATGTAAGGATTTGATTTGCCTACTCACTTCCAAATACTTACTTGCCTTTTTCATCTTTATTGTCCTTCCCATCTGCTCATGGAAAGCTTGTGAACAGTTCATAGGCAAAGTGCCTTGAAAAGTCCATAGCGGGCAGCAGATACAATATACTTTTAACCAATGATGCTTGAACACATTCCCCACGTACAGAGGGAAAAGGGGGCAAGGGAAATAGTTTCTATTCAGTACCTTAACAGCTACTCCAGTATCACTTGATTGCTAAAGTAATACCAGAGATTGCCTTTACTCTTATATAAGCTCAAACACAGTTTGTACTAGTGTCTATATAGACCTCCCCCCTCAAAAAAAAAAAAAAAAGATTTTTTAAAACACATTTTTAGAACCTTTCTATAAAGAGAAGTTACTGAAAAACAAGATAGTTTTGAATTCAGAGCAAAATTGCTATTCTGCACCAACTGCCACTGTGACCTCTTAGTACACTTTGTCATGGTGAATGTCAAAGCATCCAACCAGGAGCTCAGGCTTCTGCAGTGATGACGGGACAGAGAAAAGCAACTTCTAGCAGACAATACACTTTGTTGGTTTCAAGTAAAGTTGGAAGCAAAAGTTCTAAATATACCTTACCTTGGAGATTTATGAACAGGTTCTATACCAAATCCCTACTATTAAGACAGTAAGCAACCTCGCTGCAAATATTATGTGACTTTACACATACCTCTAATTTTCTTATGATCTGCAAATGGTTTCATATCCTGGAGCTTCCTGGTTTTAGTTCTGTGGCTAAGCCTACCCAGCAATTATTTGTCATGTGATGTTTCTCATATGTTTGCATTTTTCCAGGTCTCTTTCTTAAAAGTCCAGCACATAGAAAAGTGAATGAAACAGTGAAACTGGGAGCAGACCATGGCAAATACATTTGTCACTGTGCCTGATGGGTATTGTCTTGCTGAGCCCATACAGTATTATGGTGAGTAAAGCCAACTTTTAACATCATGACAAAACAGTGCAGTAAAAGGAACGTTTGTGGGAATTCACATGAATTTCTTCATTTTAATTGTATCTTTACAAACTAAGAAGTACTTAACTTAAATCTTAGATGTAGTTACAGGTAGCACCTCTTAAAAGAATATGTCAGACTGCCATTAGGAAAATATGTTCCTCTAATATTTGTGCTTAAATGTTTAATCTGTGAAACATTTTAAAACTTTAAAGTTGCTGATGTCAAGATACTCCCTAGGCTTTTATTTCATTCTCATTTTTTTCTTTATCTAGATGTTTTACCAGAGCACATCAATTATCAGCTGCAGGACACTGATTTTCAGACTGCACCTTACTGCCAATACTCAACAGTTCAAATTCCTTCTCCAGTATTGCAGTCACAGCCGTCCCAATCCCAGTACAGCACATACACCCTGGACTCCCAGTACAACGATGGGCAGTACAGTAACTGCGAATTAAGTAAGCCCCCTTTCATGACTTCCCACCTTGATGATAGTGGGTATCCAGGACTTAAAAGGCCCAGACTAAACCACTCTTCTTTGAGATTAAAGGGACAGGAAGAGCTTTGTGTTGTCTGCGGTGATAAAGCCTCCGGGTATCACTACAACGCACTTACTTGTGAAGGTTGTAAAGGTAAGAGGCACATAGATTTAATAGTATCTTGCCCTGCAGTGCACAGTGTAATGTTTCACGTCTGTCATTTAAACAAATAAATTTCATTAATTTTTAAGGCGACACTTCTATGGAGGATTATAATTTATCTAAGGAATCTTTATCTATTATCTTTATCATCTTTATCTAACATGTTTACTTAAGGTTCACATTGTTATAACATTTTTTTAAAGAAACATTTTCACAGTATATATTTAATAAAATCATTTCATACAACTAATTTTTCAATGAAGTATTCACTGGAATAGTGCCTGTTTAAGCAGTTGCTGATTTTTTCATGACCTTTTATTAGAGACCTTTATTTATAATTCACTAAGTATTGTTCTTAATAATCATTAGTAAGCTATTAATTCACTGTTATTAATGCTATGTGGGAGCTGTCCGGCTCAGGTAAGGAAAACTGCGATCAATACTAGTCAGAAAGAACAAGTCATGTTACACGTTAATTGAAGGTATTGCTTTCTTTATAAAGAAAATAACCTTTAATTAAATGATGAGATAGAACTCCTTAGTTTCCTTCATAAGCTGATTCTTTTCTGTAGGCTTCTTTCGACGCAGCATAACCAAAAATGCAGTGTATCGATGTAAGAACGGTGGTCATTGTGAAATGGACATGTACATGCGGAGGAAGTGTCAGGAATGTCGCTTAAAGAAGTGTAAAGCTGTGGGAATGCTAGCGGAATGTAAGTGCTCCCTGTATGCTGGCTGTTTTAATACTCATCACCAATAAAATCTTTTCCAAAGTCAATCCCTTATTCTCAGTAAAGCTAAGTGATAGAACACAAGGCAATGGCCTCAGGTTGCTCCAGGGGAGGTTTAGATTTGAGTCAGGAAGCATTTCTTCATGGAAAGGATGGTTCTGCACTGGAACAGGCTGCCCAGAGAGGTGGCAGGGTCACCATCCCTGGAGGTATTTAAGAGATGTGTGGATGTGGTGCTTAGGGGTATGCTTTAGTGGACTTAAAATGTTAGGCGGATTGTTGGACTTGATCATCTTAAAGTTTTTTTCCAACCTCAGCGATTCAACGATTCTACGTGGTATTGGTCTAAGCTTTATTTTGCTGTAGGAAAACTTAACTTTGGAGTCTGGCACCTGTAGCATCATCATCTGCGGAAACCAGCAGTACTCAGAAGTATCTCCTGAACTTAAGAGGACTGCTTTTAAAAGACATTACAAAATAAAAAGAATCTAAATATCCTGCACCTCTACAGGACAGCCATAAGCATATCAGATGTGCTTTTGTATTTGGAACAAAAAACAAAATATTTAAAAAAAAAATGCACAAAATTTTTGTGAAAAATTCTCATGTTATCTTGCTTATGGCTCTGTGACGTGAGCATAAGACAGCAAACGCTCAGGCCTTTGGTGGATATTAAACAGTAACTGACCAAATCAGCAGTACATTGTCATGTTCTTTAGGAAGCATAGTTCCTTACAGGTGACAGCTCCTGACATCCTCGTGTTATCCATAACAACAGCAATGATTTCAAATTGTAATCTGTTTGAAAATATATGCACTGATACATAATTCTGTGCCTCACAGGTTTGCTGACTGAAGTACAGTGTAAGTCAAAGCGCCTCAGGAAGAATTTCAAACAAAAGAGCAGTTTTGTTTGCAACATAAAACTTGAAGATGAGAGACTGAATAGTAAGCATGTATCATCTACAACAAGATCTGGAAAAGTGGGATATATTTCCATCTAAAATATATATATTTTTTTAATAATTTATGTTTGCCTTAACTCATTGTCATTTTATTTTTTTATTATTATTATTTTTTTAAACAGATTCCAGAGAGGATGGAACTTACTCCAGGGGAACATCAACTTCTTGACCACATTGTAGCAGCACACCAAAAATATATGATTCCCCTTGAGGAAGCAAAAAAGTTTGTACGTACACAGAACGATCAGCCCACATTACTGAGTTAGCATTTTCCTAAGCAATTTATCTTGATTATATCAACTATATAAATGCTCTTTCATGCAGCTGCAAGAAACTGCAAGTCCTGAGGAAAGTTTTCTCCGTCTCTCTGAGACGGCAGTTGTCCACGTACAAGTGTTAGTGGATTTCACAAAAAGACTCCCAGGTAAGTTTCTCCCTTTGGGAAATGTTACAGTCACCTGACTTATTTATTTATTTATATTTTATTTTTTAAATGCATTAGAAGCCATACTGGTGGCATGAATCTGAGAAAAATACAGGCTTTAAGAAAACTCTCATTTAACTGACTGACTGATCTTCCAACACTAACAGTCAGGATTTTATTCATTATGAGGAAAAGTTAGAAGCATTTTCTTCAAAAGCTTATTAGATTTCTTTTCCCTTCCTGACATAGGACCCATTTTTCTGATAGCACTGTGCCTTCAAAATGCTATCTTGAGTGAGTTACTGTTTTAACACACTGAAATCCAATTCAGTTTGCAATTTATTGGAATCAAAGATAAAATAATGTTCCTTCAAAGGCAAAGTCAGAACAGAAGGGACAAACCAGGTGCTCCTATTCATATTTTCCAATAATACAAGAACAAGAGAACCTGCAATTAAATTCACTGCATTTCAATGTAAAGTTCACAAAATAACTTTGACGGGGGATGATAACTTATTACTCTTTAAGTTGCAAAACTCATTTACAAAATTCAATCAACATGTAAAGCAAGTATTTGATAGAATTTATTTAGTATCAGTTATAGCACTACTATAGAACATGGTTGAAAGAATGGATGACTTGTTTGTTTTCTTAGGTTACATTTCTCCTCTGATCAAGATTAAGAAAAGAACCAATGAAGATCCTTTATTCTTGAATTACATGTGCAGATAACTAATTCATGAAAAGATGAACATAATTTTAAAAAGATCAACTATAATCAGACAGGGAATATCCACAGTCACTAAGCAATGTAACATATTGCATTAGGGCATATGACATAGATCAGATGTTACAAAGAGATTTTTTATAAAGCTGTGCTTATTCCTCAAATTGTTACTTGTACCTTCCTGTGATTCCTCTATACACTGTACACTGACAACAGCATTTTTTTTTCTAACATGCAAACTAGCAAGATTGCAAGAGCACTAGCTAGTGTTTCATACAAATGTCTTTTAACTGTGACTCCTCCTTTTCAGTAAATGCACTAATTAATAAATAATTTGTGTCAGCCCATCTTTTGGGCTTAATAGCAGACACAGCACAGATTCTTAACAAGTCTCTCTCTTTGCAGGATTTGAAAGTTTAGCTAGTGAAGATCAGATTGCACTGCTAAAAGGGTCAACAGTTGAGGCAATGTTTTTGCGGTCAGCCCAGATATATAACCAAAGAATTAGTGAGTGCCAATCATCAACAAGTGAAAGTAAGTTGGACTAATAAGCTTTCTGCAAACACCAAAAGGGGTTTGGCCATTTTGAAATAACTTCCATTCACTTAAATCCAGTGAATCTAAAGTAATTCCCTATTAAAGCACAGCAGTACTTGCAAAATAGTGTCAGTAGCACAGCAGTATTGTAAAATAGTGTCAGTAATGCATATATACCTTCTAGAGGCATTTTTTTTCACAGAGCATAAAAAAAAAAAAAAATGTATCTCTGCTTCTCTCCCGTTAGTTCCAAACAAAAACAAACATTCTGAGTGTTTCAACAAATGTTGGGGTGGATGGATAACATGAGCTATATTAACGACATATGATTTATTGTGTCAAGTTTGACACAAGATTTTGACCAACAGGAATGTAACAAGTGAACTTAGTGCTGGATGCAAAAAAGACCAATTCTTTATTCCTACATGGGTCTGATAAAAATACCGCATGTTTTAGGTGTCTATCCACAAAGCAGATGTAGATGAACATTTAGTCATACTAAGCTTGGCTGTGAATTGTCATCTCTCGTGTTCCAGGTCATATAAGGCTTCCTGATCACGCGACGTGTTGTCATGTTCAAAACCTTGATAAAAACATTTATTCTATTGAAATATCACACAACGAAGAGAGTCCAACGTCCACTACTACCACAGGTACTGGAGGCCTGACTTAAGATACCTGGCAATCCGTTGCACTGTAGACCGCGTTCCTAGGCCCCGCTGCGCTGCCCGCAGCTCCCAGGATCCAGCCAGGCCCAACACAGCGCTCGCGGGTACCTAGTCCCGAGCTATAGCAGAAGCTCCACGGTAGAACTGCAATACAACTTTTTAATTACTACTTCAGTGATTAGAATTGTTGCTACTAAGTCTGCTAACTATGCTGTGCAACAGAACATCCTGAAATTCTAGGAGGTTAGAACAAGTATTCGTAATAGCAGTGCCTATCTTTCATGCAATAGCATTCTGATTATTTTATTTCATTTTCAAGGTATAACCGAGGAGTTTATTACCGCACTGTTTTACTTCTACAGAAGCATGGGGGAGCTGAAAGTTACTGAGACCGAATACGCCCTGCTTGTAGCAACAACCGTGTTTTTCTCAGGTAAGCGCTGAGGCCGCCAGCTCAGGCGGCCCTCGCAGCCACGTCCCGCCGCCCGCCCCCCCCGCCGGGCCCTCGGGCGCGGCGGCGCCTCTACGCGCTGCGTGCCGGTAACCGCGCTGTGCCCCGGTGCTCCGCAGACCGCCCGCTCCTGAGGAACAAGCGGCACGTCGAGGAGCTGCAGGAGCCGCTCCTGGGCATCCTCTACAAGTACTCGAAGATCCACCACCCGGAGGACCCCCAGCACTTCGCCCGCCTCATCGGGCGCCTCACGGAACTGCGCACCCTCAACCACACCCACGCGGAGGTGCTGGTGACGTGGCGGACAAAGGACCCCAGGCTGACCTCGCTGCTCTGCGAGATCTGGGACCTGCAGTAGCACGCGCCGACGCCGCGCGACGCAGCGCCACAAGCGCCTCGCGCCTTCCTCAGCGCTGTTCCCGCCCCGCCCCGCACCGCGCAGCCCGGCGCGCGCCGCTCCCGCCACCTCCCGTCCCGCTTTGAGCGCGCGCCGTCGCCTCCCGCCCTTGCGTCCTCTCCGTCGGCGGCCGGCTGAGGGGGAGCCGCTGAGGTGGCGGGGGGCGTCCGTCACGAGGCGTCGGCTCCGAGCCCTGCCCTCTCCCCCGACGCCATGGAGAAAGGAAAGCCATTTAAACTGTTCGTGCCGCCGCGCCTGAGCAGCGGTCAGGTGTCTGCGGTCAAACCCCAGAGCAGCGCTCGGGCCGCGGGGCTGTGTCAGGTAAATGGCGCTGCTCTGGGGGCTGCGGGCGGGCGGGGGGCAGGAGGAGCGGCGCTCCCGGGCAGCTCCCAGCCAAGCGCTCAGCCCCCGTGTGCCTGAAAGCGTCTGCGCCGAGATAGCTTTACCGGAAACTAGCGTTGACGATTTCAAATTAATTTCGAGGGCTTTCTTACTCGTTTTCTGTCAAAAACGTAAAGAACCGTCTTTTCCGGCATCTGCTATGTGTTTTAACTCCGCACCACCGATGACAAATAAACGTACATGTTTGATGTGGTTAATTCTGAACTGTCAGTGGCAAATACACCGCTCATACCTTTACTTGCTTTGAATTATTGACCCCACCAGATCCAAGTGCGCATTGAAAATGAACTGTTGCTGTGCACTGTTACGTGAATTTTACGAGATACCTTTTCGAGTTGAGGCGTCTTATTAAATATGTTTAGATTCAGATATGATGCTGACAGGAAATGAGTTACAGTATTTACAAGATAAATTTCTGTGACTTTCAAAACACCTTGTAAAGTCAAATGTTTATGCTAAAGCGTAATCTGATGTGTTTTAGAAGTACTATTGGCAATAAAGCAAAAATAAATATGAAAAAAATACTTTGCTTTAACGAGTCCTTTACCGTACAGCTGGGAACAAACATGCTGTAGCTAGTAAGTTCATAGCTGTAATCAGAAGCATCCACTTCTTTAGCCTCAGTATAGTCTATAACATAACTCTACAGACCAATAGTTTGAAAAGCCACTGTGAACTACGAAGCAAGTAGAGTTCCAAAGCTGTTACTAATACTTGGGGCTTTCAAAATAGTAGGTAGTTGCTTTATTAATGGGAAATCCCATTTTCACATCAGCTTTATTTGTTTTATAGTTCCTCTTTACAAATCTACCCATAAGAAATTATTCTTAAATTTATGCAGGGTTTTAACAAATGCCCAGATGATGATTTTAATCCACCTTTTGTAATGACGAGTACACTGAACCATAGTGAAATCACTGATTCAGGTAAGACTAGATTAAGCATCTATCTTGCAAAATTTTTAAAAAGTTTTTAATATCTTGAACGTTTGTCCTTAGTAGTTATATAAATTCATAGTGTAACTGTAACATAATTGTAACATTGCTACAGTTGCACTTTTTTTTTTTTTTTTGAAATTGACCAGAATTTCTTAATATTTCAGATGCAATTTCACAGCAAGTAAAACTTTGCCCTGAGATACATGAAGAGGTCAGCTAAGTATAAAATTTGCATTTAAGTATAAACTTTGCATAACCATTTTCTTAGGGCCTCTTAGTTTGTTCCTGAAACAGTGTCTAAAGCACTATTCAATACTAGAGGAAGTAGTCAGAGGGTAGTAATCATTTTCTGTGTCTCCAGTTTAAAGCTGTGTCAGTTTGAGGAGGTATTTAATATTCAATGAATATACCTATAGATAAATCTTCAGATATTAAGGTGATTTCCATGTTAATAGTGCCTGTGAAGTGTGTAAGTTTTAATCACAGTAAGATTTAGGCACTCGACATTGTGAACATGTTTCTGAATAGTCTGATAGAAGGCACAAGGGTTGAAGTCAGAATATTCTTTGGAGAATCAAAGTAGGTTATTACAATTACCTTGTCTTTATTTTATCTGTAAAGCAGTGAATTTACTGGAGTGGTTTCCTCAAGCATTTGATTCTTCTCATTACCTCTTTGCCCATGTTCTGCTTTAGTGTAACTCAGTAAAGCTAATTTTTTGCAGTAGCTTCCTGTGCTTCCTAGATATGAAATGCTGGTTTCTGCAAGAAAATGGAACGTATTTCTCGCAGCCCATTTAATGATTTTCATATCCTTGAGGACTGAGCTTCTTTTAGCCCTAGCAGATATTAAAGTACAGTAAGAATTGTAAAGAAAATAATCATGATGCCACCAAAACAAGGATAGCATTAGGTGACATGAAACCTACCTGTAGAACTGCCTTGTAGCCCATTGTTCTACCTGCCTAAACCACTGATCAAGCATGGCTTATATAGTGGTTTAAAGATATTCTAAGAGTACAATGTTGGTTGTATTTTTTCTTGCTTTGTGTATGAGTAAGCTAAAAATAAACATCGCAGATCAAGATCTCTGTAGCTTGTTTTACTTAACCCAGCAGTGTCTATTGTTACAAGAGAGGGGATGTTCAGTGAAGAGCCTAAGAGAAGGAATCTTGGCTCTACTGATAATTCTAGCAAAACTTTATTGATTTTAGGTGAAGTGCAGTTAAATATATATCTATCCATTTAGCAGTATCACTGTATTTGAGGGCATTAGGTTATTTTTCACTTGCGTTTATGTCCCTTTAGTGTTCCTTAATGTCTGTTAATACATATAAGTACACAGATACGTGAACCTTGTCTCCCGTATACAGAAGTTTGTGTCACCATCTGTGAGGAAAAAAAACTTATGATGTTATTAATTAAATAGCACTTGAGATTTAAATTGTGATTTAAATTTATATGTTTTAATAGAATATAGAAACAATGAATGAATTGTATTCAAAACTCTACAAAGAGGCTGAGAAGATCAAGCGATGGAAACTGACTGTAGAATCAGACCTAAATCAAAAGGAAAGAAAATTGCAAGAAAATAGAAAGATTATTGAAGCACAGCGTAAAGCCATTCAAGAATTGCAGGCCAGTATTGTACAAAATATGTTGAATATGTAAATTAAAGAGAAAACTCTTTCTGGTTTAGTATGAAAGTATTATTCATACAATTAAATACTAAAGGTTGTTACAGAGGTTGAAGAAATCATTTTGACCAATTCATTTGATGACTTTAAAGAAGCTATTTGACTAGTTATTAATGACATATGGTTCTACTTTTTCAAAAGGAAAAAGTATATTTTCTGTTTTAAAAAGTTGTTTACCATATTTTAACAATGCAAATTCCATTATTGTATTATTTACGTGCACATCATACTGTGGGGATGCAGAAACCTCCGCAAGATTGAATAAGCTTTCATCCTCCTGGTATGTGTAAACCATGCCCACACATATTTCTATACTCAGCACATACAGGAAATCTTGCAGTCTTGCTTCATCCACATTTTTTCTCTTGCTGGTAGTGATAGAGAACTTTGTGACTGAAAAAACATGTTTTAAACAATTTATTTGTCCTTTTTTGTTGTTTGCTTGCATCAACCTGCATAACCTAAGTCATCTTTGATTGTTTAACTTATGCCTTGAGAAAATGGTTATTCTGAGAAAACATGCATATCCATAGTGTGCAAATGTATGTATGGATAACATGTCTTTAAGTGCTTAAGATCATGGTAAATTATTTTTTATTATATTTTCATGCAAACTAATAAAAGTTGTGTTGGCATGTAACATCAGATAAAGCAGATTTCTGTCTTTGGATGCATAGAAACAGGTTTTCATGTGTTTTTTGAATTGAAAGTATAATTGCAGTATATTTTTCAGTAACAATATATTTTGTATTTGTCTCCCATGAAACTAGTTTGAAAATGAAAAACTAAGCTTAAAACTGGAAGATGAGATATGTGAAAATAAAGACCTTTTAAAAGAGTAAGTAGTACAGTTAAATATAGATTTGCAAAAATAATGGGGTTTCTTGCTTAGAACTGTTGTGGTATGGAAAGTTAGATTTAGTTACTGAATTGTAAAACTCATGAAAGCGTTCACATTGTTACTAAATAAATGTACAAAGTACCATGCGTCCTTGTGACAACATATTATAGTATTTTTTGCCTTCTTTTAGAAACAGCACTTCAAGGCATCTGTGTAACCTACTCAAGGAAACCTGTACTCACTTCACAGAGAAGTCCACAAAATGTAAATGCTCTTTATATTGATTTATGAAAGTAAATTTACTTCTAGCTTTCTCTAAATTCATGAAGGAAAAATCTTTTATTTGGTTCTGAATTAGTTTTCGAGTTGAGATAAACTATATGTGGCTCAATGCATCAGAGTAAAGTGGAGAAGTGAAGCCAGAAGTCTAATACATGTATACTTTGTAATGCTATATGTAATGCTATATTCTGAGGTTTTCTGAAGTTAATGATTGTTTGCTAAAATGTTACATGCCTAGGACCTTCTTAGTTGTCTGATCCGGGTATGACAAGTGTTAGGTACTGTAAGCAATATTGATTAGCCACTAGCAAACGCTCCAGAGGAGTACACGTCTCCTGAGATCTTGTCACACTTGTCAGTCACATCCATATACCTTGAATATATTAAGATATATCAGGTGGCACTTCTTGACTGTTTTTAAGCAATAGAATCTGCTTTAGTTACCATTCTTTAAAAATAATTCTGGAGTTGGTATTCTTTTTGGAGCAGTTATAGATTCCTGGGGGAAAATAAAAACTCCAAAACTCAGGACACTATGAGTAACTAGCTGACACAAAATTTACATTCTTGAGGTTTTCAAATACGTTATTGACTTGGGATTTTAATCTATATGACATTCAAAATTGTGAATAGTCTTTAAAATTTGGCTGACTTGATCCTGGGTACTTAAGAAGTATCTGACTCTTTTTAGCCTTGCTTCTACAAAGTCCTACATAGACATTTACTGTACTCCCTTGATAGCTGTGTTTCTTATCGTTATCTTCCATAATTGTTTTCTTAAGGAAAAAAAATAATACCAGTTTGGAAACTGGAATTGTTAAAAGATGGAGATACGGAGTATTGTGACAGTTCTCTAATGACATTGGAGTGGTCATGGACATCTCTGCTGATGAAAGGAAATTAATTGTTAAACTTTATCTTACAGTTTTTCAGATGCTAACATTTTTGATACAGTAATATTCAACTACATTAATACTGTCAAAATTAATATAGCTATATAAATTGGTTGAGAATTATGTTCTTTGTGGAAAAAAAATGAGATTGGGAAGGAAATTTGAAATGACGAGCTTGCTTGGTATTTTGATGGAACATGCATTTTCTTCAAGTTGTATAACTTTTGGTGCACTATACTTCACAATGATTTTTTTTAATAAGAGCCTGTAATTTCTTTTAAAATTCATTATGCTGCTTAAGCATAATGGCTTGGACAGCTGGCATTATTTTGCAAAAGGAAAACCTTATGGTACATTCTTGCTTTGATAGATGAACACGAAAGAGAAGATACGAGACAACTACATGTGGAACTTAATAACAACATTGAAGTAAGTGACCTAGTATGCTAAAAACCTCACATGTGATCCAAGTTACACGCACATCTTGAGATATCTGAGTTGCATGTATACGTTGAGATACTATTCATACAAAGAACATTCTCTGATAAAGTGATTAGAAGGTTCATGTGGGATGTAGGAAGTCTGATTTTCAGTTGCTTTTCAACAGTTAATTTTGTACTGTATATAATATATTCACTGTCTAAAATGCAACACTGCTTGGGAGCACAGATCTGTATAGTGTTTTCTGACTGCCATAATTGCTGTCCTTGTACTCTGTTTAACTTACCTGGTGATTTCAAAGAATGACTGAGATTGGAAGGATACTCTGGAGAAGTACGTTCTGGTCCAACTTCCCCTGCTAAAAGCAGGATCAACTAAAGCATAAAAAGTGCTTTATTAAAGATTGCATAGGAGTGTGTTCAGTTAGGTTTTGAGTATGACCGAAGATGGAGATGTGGAATGGGGTCAGGTATGTTAGGATTATTTTAGTAGGTGTTTTTGTTTAATATAAAATGCAATATACTTACATAAACATAGAAAATGAGTTTCAGTCTTGAATATGATACAAAAAAAAAAAACAAAAAATAATGATGGAAACCGGTAATTTTGTGTAAAATGAGAAGTATAAGGTGTGAATATACCTTGACTAAATGAGCATTTTTTCCTTTTTAATTTATAAAGCAACTGTGGTCTTGTCAAAGTCATATTTTTATTAATAATTACTTCAGTGTGGAATATAAGACCCTAATATATTTATAATAGAGAAATGTGAGGCATCATTTTTTGGGATTGATGAACTTGATATTAAGCAGAGCCAGGGAGCACATGTTATAACTGTTAAATATTAATTATCAATTGTTGTAGCAACTCAGGAATATACGATGCCTTCTCCATTATGGTAGGGATCTACAATCATGGACCAGTAAAAATATCTCATTCTTGAAATTATTTATATCTCCAGTAGCATTCTGTTAACTCCGACTTTAGATTTTAATGATTTTATCTACAGATATGAATGAGCTTATAATATTGCTTGTTTACAAACCACAAATATTGTTTTTCAGTACTGGAAGCACATAGCTTTATATGAATGTACATTTCAAATTTTGTTTTTAGAGATTGATAGTGGCATTTGAAGAGCTTCGTGTGCAAGCAGAGAATACCAGATTGGAAATGTGTTTCAAATGTGAGAACTATGCTTACTGCGTTTATGTTGCAGGCTTAACCATTTTGTACTTCTCAGATTTTATTGCTTGCAGTTTCATGCCAGAAAGATAGGATGAGCGAGAATGGTGAACTGTTAACACTGATATTTGTTCTAAGACTATGTCCTGGAATCTCTCATTTCATAGTAGTAGAGTAGTAAATGTCTTTTACTTTAAGGGAACAATTGTTGAAGACAGTCAGCTAAATTCAGTCACTTTGATAAGGCAATTTATTGTCAATTATTTCTTACCCAAGTCTTATTCCTATAAAATAAGTTACATACTTCCTTGCGCTATGGTCTGCTTCTTTGCAGCAGGCTTAACGCTACCTCAGTTTCTCTTAGTTTGGGATAGGTCTTTTTCAAATTTCCTAGAAAAGCTACATTCATTGCAACATCTTAGGTTTCCTCACAGACACAGTTTTTTACTTCTGGTTTAAATTTTACCTCTGATGAATTGTTCCATCAGCACCATAACTATTTTAGCAAAGGTCTGGACCCTGCCTTTACTCATACTGCCTGGACTCTTTATTGTTTTGTTTGTTTGTTCTAATAAATCAGATTTGAAATCTTTTTTTTTCTAGTAGTCACTAAACTTTTAGTTTTGTCCGTGAAGTACGGTCTATAGATGACTACATATTTTACGTAGCTGTTTTATTTAAATGATAGTATTCTAATATATAGCTACATACATTTTAATTAAATATTGCTTTATTTATACCACTAATTGCTTGTCTTATTCTTACATGTGCATTTCTGCTAGTTTCATATAGCAGTCTATCAATTCATATATGCAGTAATGAACTAATTCTATGGAAAGTTGGCAGAACAGGTATTTTGTGTGATAAGAAATTTACTTCAAAAATTACCTGAACAATTCCTTTTAAGGAAAAAAAAAATGTATAACTGTACAATTATAAAGCAATCTTAAAATAAAAATTGCATTTAACTTGGAGAATGTTTTAGTTTATTAACTATTAATACTATTGTTTCTCAAAAGTAAAAGAAGAAGCAGAAAAAGTGGACAAGTTTGAAAAAGAATACAAACTGGAAGTCAGTATGAAGGAGAAGCAGGTTTGCTTATTATTGAAATCTAATATGTAGAATTTTATTTTTGAAACAAATCTTGTTTCTTTAATATTTAAAGTCTCCTTTAATGAATTGCTGATATATCAAATTAAATAATTGTTTTAAAAGTGCTTGGTTGTTTGTGAAATATTTGTATTTTTGAAGGATGGAAATTGTTATTGCAAATTACCTTTTGGCGGATTGTTCATTCTGTGTTATTTGGAATAAAATTTAAATTAGTCTGCTCTATCATAATAAGGGACATGTCTGTGACAGGATATAAAAGCACCACGTGAACACTAAATACTTATTCTGTTTTCTGTACGTAAGTTTGTCTGTATAAAGGTGACTCGTGCAGAAGCATAAAATTAACAGAACAGTCATCACTCCATATAGGTAAGAAAGATGTAGTTCATACCTGGTAAGAAGGAAAGTGGAAAGAACACTTAAATGCATATCAGACCATGGGCTGGTAGAAGAGGTTAGGAATCTGAGACTTGAGTAGGTTTTTTGTAGCAATGTTGAGGTATCCGTGATGGAATACTAAATTGAAAAAAATAATTGTGACAGAAGTTTTTAGTCTGTAAGCAGAAGACTGAAAAGCAGGGTGTCTACATGACTTTGTAGAGAGGTAAGGAGTATTTTGGGACATCAATAATGAATGAAAAATGAAAAAGATAACACCTGAGTCTGTATTTCCATCAGATTCTGTTAACTTTAGTGATGTTCTTGTGTCTTTAGTCTGTTGGTATTCATGTTCTGATTTTGAACTGAAAAGCTTTTTCATCCAGAGCAGTATGACTTGATCAATGGTTGACTAAGACCTGACCACCTTATTTAACTTGAATGACAGCAGTATGTATACTAAACATACATGATGTACAAAATGAAGTTGAAAATCTGTCTTCTTTTTTAGATTTCATTGTGATACTATTTTAATTTTGTTAGATTTCAGTTCTTACCATACAGAATGGTGAAAAAGATGATGCAATAAAAGACCTTAAGACTCAGCTGCAGGAATCAAAAAATAAGATTGCAGACTTAGAGGAAGCAAAAAGTAAGAGTCCTTTCTACTATATTAAAATGGTGTTGCTTAGGGACATGGTTTAGTGGGTGATACTGGTGGTAGGGGGATGGTTGGATCAAATGATCTTTGATGTCTTTTCCAACTTTAATGATTCTATGATTGTATGGAAATACATTTGTCTGTAGAAGTATGGGAAACAGAATGATGATAATTTCATCCTGTTATTAGTCAGCAGTAGAACCTTGGGACCTTGCAGGTCATATTCAGGCCAGTTTGGAAATGAGCAAGATGCTGCTGATGTGGGAACTGGACTTGTAGAAACTCTCCTTATGTAAAATACAGGCCCTTATTTCATAATAAAGTTTTTCTTTTTAGGTTTAGGCTACACCTTGTTTTTGCATTGACAGGAGAGTTCCACTGCAAGGAACTTTTCTTCTCTTACTTTTCCATAAACTCTTGTGTGAAAATTGTTATGCTACTGAAAAGGTGTCATATACCCTGTCATTTCTTTTCTATAACAGAAATATAGAAAGATATACCAGGACAAGGTAAAACCCTGTCCATATTCTGAAGATTGTTCCATTTCAGTTGGTCCTCAATAGTAAACATGGCAAGACAGTAGTGTTTTTCATGGTTACTGAGTTAATCTATTTTCAATCAAGTTAGTAAAATTTTCCACATCTAATCTTTGCTCAGTAGTCCACAAATAGTAGTATTCTCTGTTCAACAAGACATGTTTCCACATCTTAGCCAAATAACCCCACCAGAATGTTACAGCTTTCAAATGGAATTTCATATTTGCAAATAGGCAAAAGTAAAAATATTTTCAAAGAGTTCTTCTATTTTAAGGGTGAGTCAAGCAATGAAAGCTTTTGAAGATTACAAGGAGAAAATATATTCAGCTTTGCAGACTTAGAGTCAGGTGCAGCTGAGGAAACTTAGAGCTTTAGAACTAGGTTTTCAGTATTTTAAAAGCCATTTATATTACAGAGTATTTATAGTATGTGATGCAAGTAGCTTTGTTCTTTAGAACTGAGACGATTTTCAGCCTCTCCTTCCGTGGGGAGTGGAAAGGCATGCTTTATCATAGAATTATGTAGTGGCTAGGGTTGGAAAGGACATTGAAGATCATCCAACTTCAACCCCCCCACCATAGACAGGGATGCATTTAGTAACATTTTTATTCCATATACATATGAGTGACTGCATTTTGTTAAATTTTATAGATACAAGCAATTTCGCATTTTAGGTAGTTACTTAATAAGTTGAATAATCATCTTGGAGGATTTTTTCCTTAACGATTATATGAGTACATTATGTAATTAACTGATTACATTGTAGGATATATTTACCTGTAAAACAAATGCAAGCATATTTTAGTAAATGTTGTTTTTCTTAAATGTAAGTTTTTATCTTTTTGCTTAGGACTGGAAGGGGAAACGTTAAAAGAATCCCAGCTTAATCAAGAGTATTTGAGGGCAGAACTGGAAGAAGCCAAAGTTTCATTGCAAAAAAATGAGGTACAGTTTGTTTATAGTTTTCTGATATAAATATATGAGTAATTGCATAAATAACTGCCGATACTTTTTAGATATGGAACAGTTGTAGCTGTTTGTTACAACATGTTTAGAAACGACAATTGTTTTGTAGGCTACTCAAAAGAGCTTAGAAACTGAACTGCAGACTGCAGTGAAAACATTAATTCAGGTCACTCAGGAGAAAGAAGCACAGATGGAAGAATGTAAAGAAACTAAGGCTTTGCATACATCCATGATAGAAGAGTTCAAGACTTCTACTTCCAATTTAAAAACCTTGCTGCAAAAAGAACAAAATAGGTAATTTAAACAGTTTACAATCAAAGAATAATTTTGTGGGTAAAATACTGGATTGCTGAGCTGCTGGGAATAAAACCTAAACATCTTGTGTGATCTGGTGTAATAACTTTTTGTTTTGAATCAGTAGTAACTCATTCAGTCATCATCAATGAGTTTAGCTGTAACCACTTTGGTTTTTATTTTTTTTACGTCCTTTGTCCGTCTAGACCTTGAAGATGGTTATACAATCATAGAATGATTTGGGCTGGAAGGGTCCTTAAAGATCATCTAATTCCAACCCTCCTCCCATGGGCAGGGATAGGACAGGGATACTTTCCACTAGATAATCCTGCCCATGGTTGCACTGTTTGATTTTGTGTGGATGCAGTTCCTAACTAATAGAGCTGTCATCTCATTTGGAACTTTAAAGTTTTTTAATAATGAAACATTTAGTGAGGAAGATATTCTTCCTTACATGATAACAGTACTATTTAATACCAATCTTTATTATTCCTATATTTCAGGCCTTCTGTAGTTTTAAAAAATATGTATATGTCAAAGAACCTAATAGCAACTAAAATCAACCTTTCTAAAAATGGGAATAGAACTGTAGATGTGTATTTTAAAACATTATCACAACAGAGTTTTTTAATAAACAGTGATTTGGAGTACCTGCCATCAAGGTATCTTCTAAGTAGTTGCAGGGTATGATAAACCCAAGAACAAAGGGAGATGAAACTGAAATTCATATTTTGACACAACAGTTTAAATGCAAAGAATGTAATGTATTTTTTTTAATTATGCTGATTGATACTGGTCTATGAGAAAGCAAATCTTTGCCCTCTTGATTTTCATAAAGAAGTACAGACATATGTATGCATATATTTGTTTACTTTTGTCTGCTGTTCAGAAGCTGTAAAACTAGAATTTGATACATTTGATATATCATACGTATCATATTTCACATATCTTTGATATATCATCTACCTGTGGAAAAGCAATATACTTCAAATGCTTGTGGTAAGACTTTGTCTTACTGTCCTTAGACTTTCAAAAGCAGTGCTGTATACTGAACAACAACAACAAAATAATTAAAATTTTCTTAGATTGAAGAAATATGAAGAAGAGTCAAAACTGCTTACCTTGGAGCTCACAAATAAGTCTGCTGAGCTGGGTAAGATTTATAGAAAGAAGGAAGATGAGCTACATAGTAATAAGAATGTTTTCTTCTGTTCCTTGAAAAGAGACTATCCCTGTGTTGTAGCTGTTGCCTGAAAAAATAAATTTACCATAGTCTATACCTGCCAGGACTGCTTAAGTTTATTTTTACTCATCCTACTCCCACTTCTTTGGTAGTCATTGTATCTGGCAATAGTCAAACAGCAATGCTGAACAGACTCAATAGCAAGACCATACATGCATGGATGCTCCTAGAACTCATTTTGATTTCTCTGCATTATCCCAGTTAAGACTAATAGCAGGCCAGACTAGTTTCAGAGGTAGCATTAGACTGCTGAATAATAGATTCCAAGAATTACTTCTGTAGCTTGTAGTAGAGTCAAACCACCTGCATTAAACTTTCCTGCAGACTGCTGTCCCTATGTTGGATGTAGAACAACACCTACAGTGGTTCACTATAAATATTGTTTTGATACCCTGTGATTTTTACATATGCATTCCTTAGCGCCCAAACCTTTGGCATTGTTTTCCCACTGTGCAGTGTATGTCTATAGCCCTGATATGATAGATGAGAAATATAGTTTGATATATGTACTGAGGGAATCTAACAATAAAGTTGTTCAAAAATTGCTGATAACGTTTCTCTGGAATAAGGTGAGATGTGACCTGTGATGATAACAAAGCAAAAATGAGTTTGGTGTTCAGTACTTGCAAAAAATATCAATAATGTTAATGTGCACCTAGAAAACACATTTTGAAGTTACTAATGAGTGGTTTCCTTTTTCAGCATATTCAGATTTTTTTCCAGAAAAACGCAGATGCATCAATACCTTGAGACTACTGCTTTGTAAACATTCTTACAGTACACACTCTAAGACTTGAAGCCACAGTTGTAGAAAATATAAGAGGCTCTTAATTTTATTTAAGATGAATGATTAGATTAGCTTTTCTTCAGATGTATATTCATTAATATCTTTCTGAATCCCTTTTTTAATTTTTTTTTTAACTCTATATTCAGATTAAGTGATAATTTGGGTTATAGTTTATCTTTAAAATATCTGAACTTAATACAACAAGTTTTGAAAACTGGGCACTGTGAAAGGATAAATGCTTTATGTTGTCTTCTATGTATGTAATTTTTTCTGATCAATTAATTTTACATTGTATGTGCTGTAGAAGAGATGACTAAACTAAAATGTGACAAAGAAATGCAACTTGAAGAGCTGTCAGAAACACTGGTAAATCTTTACTTTATTAGTTTCATGGCATTAACTTTTCATATGTAATCTTTCTTGCCTTCGAAGTATTTTATATGCCATATAAACACTGTCTAATCTGCCCTAATGTTGCTTTCTTAACTACCTTTTTAACTATTTTGATGTTTTCTTTGAAGGGCTTACTTCCTTCCATTGTCTTGCTTGTTTGATTTTTCCATGTCAAGATTTCTGGTTCCTCCTTCATTCACACCTAATCAAGTGCCACTCTCTATGAAAAGGATTTCCTATTTTTAGTTATGCCTAGTATTCACTCCTTCTTCATCCTGAACCTTTCTGAAAAAATAATTTTGTGTGTGGGCATGATGAACATTAGCTCACATCTTGTGAACACAGCATATGATATTTAAGCCTGAAGAATTAATTGACACCACTTGGAAAAGGCAGTAGAATTTGTGCAAAGGTTATGCGTGATAAAATGAGGGATCTAATAAGCAATTTCCTAGGTTTCTTACTTCACAAGTCTGTTGCAATTATTTTACTGTTTGAGAGGTGTTAATTATGATGAGGTTTCCTCCATACTGCAGTGTTTAGTATCTAGAAAGCATTGCCTAGTGTGGTAATACACGTCACTTTTCAGAGAAAACAATTAGGAGTTTCAATCTGGAGAATGGTCTTATAACACCATTTTCCATGTATTCCCATTAGACTGGATGTTCTTATCTCCTTATAGGGATGTTTCTTGAGGTAATCAGCTCTGTTCTATGTGAACTCTACTAAACCTCAGCACAGACCCATTTTCTGTTATGGAAGTCTGAGTTATATGAAATACACTTCTAATACAGAATGACTTTAGTTATGATCTTGTATTTACTAGTCTAACGGGTAACTCCATGCATTCAAGTAAGATGGTAAACGCAAACCTCGTTTTATGCCAAGTGTATTTGTTCCTTATTCATTTAATTTTCTAAACATTTTCATTAATGTTCTTAAACAGGGTAAAGTTGAGGAACTTCTTGGGAAAAAGAAGGATCTTGAGGCTACTGTTGAAAATTTGCAGGAGAGAGGAAAGGAAATGAAAAATATTCTTCAAATTAGAGAGGTCAGAATAAAGTGTGATCCTAACATTTTTCTATAACTAGTTGTTACAGTTTTATCACTTGTATATATATAACAAGAAACTTGATGTAGTTGGGCCAGTAGTCCATCCAGTGTAGTATTCTGCTTCTGAAAATGGTTCTATGCAGTAGAGTAGCCTGGCTATTATCTCTGGTCCATCCCCCTTACATTCCTACAGTAAGTGTATTAAGGATGTTTGAGGACACATCCTTGTCAGTTCTCTTTGTTACCTGTTTATAGACTTACTCATGTCCAATAGTTTCATCAGTTTTTGAACATCTTCATACTATTAGCATCCATAGCCTTCTGTGATAAGAAATTCCAGAAATTCATTATATGCTGTGCTTAAAAAACTAAGTGTACATTGACACACATGCACTGTCTTTCTCCCTGGTTTAAATCACCTCCATGCCAGTGTATACACTGTATCAGTAGTTATTCAGAGGAAATAGTGTTCAAAGCATTAATGTATTATAAACTACATCACATTACAAAGCTTGCCTTGTCTTGTAATGACAACCAATTTCTGAGCAGTTCAGAAAGCTTGTAGAAAGTAGTATCTCTGTAGTTCAGAATGCATTCAAATGTGTGCTTATACTATCACATAGGACTGGAATTGTGATTTTTTTGTTTGTTTGTTTTTTTAATATTTAGGTGAATTCAAAAGCTTATGATGTCTGAGGCAACACCATCTTTATTTAAATGCCCATGGAAAAGTAGTTTTGTCAGTACTTTTGCAGAGAATAGTTAGACTATAAAATAGGGGACATGTTCAACATTCATACCAGATTTCAAGATTTCACACTACCACATTACACCAGTGTTATGTAAAGATAAAGTCTAGCTAATTTATGGATTGTCTGTAGCTTTGTTTAATCTTAAAGCTTTGTGTCACCAGTTCTTTTCTGATAGCTTTCATGATCTGTAATTTACATATGTATACTCACAACATTTCTTCTTCTGCAGAAAGAAATGCATGATTTGCAAATACAGCTGACTACTAAAGTTGAAAAGGAACAGAGTTATATAGAACAACTTACGACACTGAATGCAGATCTGGAACGAGAGGCGTATGATGATTTTTGAAAATATAGTATCGGTTTAATCGTTTTTAGTGTTACGTAGAAGTTACTTTACTATACAAAAAAATGATCTATGATTGTTCTCTAATGAAAATTTTGAATTTATATAGTCAGCATGACATCCTCTATATATTTATATTAATAATATATTGCAATATATTACAATATGTACAATTATATATATTATTGCATGTTATAATACATATTACATATTATAATACAATTACATATTATATGTACTATATTATATTATAATATGTAATTGCCCCATATTTCTGTGAGATAGTTGTCTTAATATGAAGAGAAAATGTTTCTGAAATCATTGTTAACCCTGCTTTAATATAGATGTTGAACTACATTCTTGCCAACAGCAATTATATTTATACAACAGTCAACTCATTTTTGCTCCTCCTCCTGTTGCCTTTTCACATCACTCTGACTCTATATTAAATTTGTTGTAAAGATTGCATTTCCGGGTACAGGCCTGGACTTTTTTCAGTGTGAAGTAACATTTTATAACAGATAAATCTAATTTAAAAGGAAATTTCAAAGTGCACATTCTTATTTCTCTTGACCATTTATTTTAAATTAGACTAAAGAATGAGCAACTAACAGTGCATATCAACACGCTCTTATTAGAAAAAGAGCAAATGGACCAAGAGAAAAGTAATATAGCTGCAGAACTCAGGAAACTACAAGAAATTCATGAGGTAAGTTGTAAACTTCCAGCTGTTCTTAAAGGATAACATTCTGTTTAAAATATAAATCATATGGTAAACTTCAATATCACATAGTTTCGTAGAGTATCTGAACTCTTTGTTGTCTTTAAAATACAGTATACGTGCAGTTATCCTTGTGAATGTAGCATTTCAAGATATTGCTTAAGATGTCACCTTGAATTTTACTTATTTTATTTATATGTGTATTTATTTAGGGTGATAGAAAAAAAGAAGAAAATACAAAGCTGTTAGTAGATAATCTGGAAGAAACAAATGGCCAGCTAAGGCAAGTAAAAATAAATATTGATGTAAAAAAGGTTGTTAAAAGAAGTAGGTTTGCTTCTTTCACAGTTAGTCTAAATGTTGTGTTCATATGTTGCTTTCTGCTATTTTAGATGAATGATTTTTAAGCATTGTAGTTAAATTATGGGCCTTTTTCTATACAAAAGCAATATAGTATTGGTGTTGGCCATGTAGAAGTTTCTACAAGTTAGTACTACCAATTGCTATGATTTTTTTTTTTTTGCCATTTCTTCAGGTTACATTTTAGAGGCCTCTCCTGTTCTGCGTTAACCTCTTAGCTGTGATTAAAATGAAAATTTAAGTTACGGGTTAGGAATTAAATGTAAAAAAGTAAAATTGATTATGTTACATTTGTAGTTAGTACCCTGACAGGCAGCCTTCCAAATTTCATAGAAGCATTATGCTATTACAGATCAGAATATAATGGGAACATGTTTTCATACTTACAAAAACTGTGTACAGATCAGATATTACCTTCAGTCACTTTGCAAAATTTAAAGAATAATCCCATTGAACATCTTATGAAATTCTTATCAGTAGTAGTTGTAAATAACAAACCAGTTCTTTTTAGAAAATAAAGAATGGATAAATACTAAATAAAGCTGTATTGAAAATAAGTTAATATTCTTAAATAAATATTTACTAATATTTGGTAATTTGTCATTTAGAAATGAATTAGAGTCTTTGAAGGAGAAGATGGCAAAGAAAGGTGAAGAGATTAAAAGCAAACTGGATGAAAGTGAAGAAAATGTATGCCATGTAATATGCTTTATCATTTGAAATAAATAACATGTAACATTACCTGTAGGACATAATCTAAATGTAAAATGTATTTTATTTTATTTTATTTTTTTTTAATGCAAAGGGATATTTTCTCTTAAAACGGTTTTCTTCTTTCAGTGTTTCTATGAATTGAGTCACCATATATACATATTTTGAGCTCTTCCTGTTTAAAAGACAAGGACATTCACTGGGATGTTTAGTCTTTATATGGAAGCTTAAGGGTCCAAATTTGTTATATTTTAGGCAAACATAGAACCTTATTTTTTTATTATTTTGATTTACCCATTTAGTGATGAATAACATCCAGATTAGCTTTCAATATGAGTTTCAGTTTGAATATGTTTAAATATTTTTACTTTCTTATTGTATTGTCAAAGCACACCTGCTTTTTTAACATAACAGTGGATTTCAAAATTTTATCATAAAATTCAAAGAAGATATTGAGGGCACGAGATAGTTGCTTAATTTAATTAATTATATATTTTTTAACAAACAAATACAAAATGGGAATAAATTAATTCTTTTTGACAGAACTGCTTTGAAATTGTAACGTAGTAGTTAGTAGTAATTCTATGATTATGCATTTTTCTTCTTTAAGATAGTACAAAAGTTCTGATAATGGTTTGACTATATTTACAATTATAATTCCAGACTAAGAGTATTGAAAATGAAATTTCAAGAAAGGAAAGGCAGTTGAAGATTCTAGACAATAAGGTAAGAAATTTAAAATTTTCATGGACTGTAGGTAGTTTCATACAAGCTAATTTTTTAAATCATTGAGCTACTTTTTTTTTTTTTTTTCTCCATAAGCTCAATAACCACTGAAGATCTGGGTAGCTGCTGTTAAACTTGATGTTTGTTACTAGGCTAGCAGAATTCTTGTATTGCATGGTCAAAACTGCAGTCGTTGTAATGTGTTGGCATGTGTTTCAGTCCCACTGGAATTAACTGGACCTGTGCAAATGCATATTTAAGAACTTTGACAGTAATGTCTAACACACTGAGTCATTTTTAAGAGTTTATAAATTAATGTTTGAAGTATCTCTTTTAGTTGAATAATTTGAAGAAACAGGTGGAAAATAAAACAAAGTATATTGAAGAGCTGCAACAGGAGGTAAATACATCTTTTAGAATACTCAAATACACAAAACATGGTATTTTGAGGTTACTGTTACTATTCAAAAATTTTAGTCTTGTATGATTTCTTTAGATATAGCTATGTAAGTTAGAATGTTTCCTTTCGTACCTTAACTCTGAGCAAACTAAGGAATTACCTTTAGAATTACTTGATTTATGAAATTATTCTTACTTTTGTAAAATGCAATTATAGTAAACTCTTTAAAGAGTCTTTAGTAAACTGTTATTATTTTCATTTAGAACATGGTATCATCAATCCATGGTATCACATTTGGCATAATAATCTATTTCAGTTACCGATAATAGAAAAGACTTGTACATAAGGACAAATTGTCAGTAACTGTATTGTAAAAACTTACTTTTTTTTTTCATGACATCTGTACGTTTTCAGTTCACAGCATTTGCCCAGAATAAAATCCCTGAATCATCTGCTTAGAATCAATTGATTATTATATCTGTTCTTTCATTATAGTGCAGCACAGGAGTAAATTTATTTATATACAAGCTCTGTAGAACAAAAGCAAGAGGAATGATGCATCTTAGTTTTTCTTCCTATTCTGCACCCTCTTTCCTTATTTTCTGTTGTTGCCCATTAGGAGTCTTTCATAAAGTCATGAAGAGTAAGGAGCAATATTATTAAAACAGTTGAACACTTCCGTTTGGAAAACCGTTCTAGAACCTGAACTGTACTACAATGAGAAGACAGTTATTTATTTGCTTGCTGAAAGCTAAAATTCTGAGGATTCTGACCTACTATATGAGGCTAAATTGTTGCATAATACTATTAACTTGTTATAGTGATTGTTTTACTTAATTTTAACAGAACAAGGTGCTGAAAAAGAAAATGACTGCAGAAAGCAAGAAAACAAGTATTTATGAAGGGAAGGTAGGTTTAATTCATGTCACATGTAAGATAAGGGTAAAGCACAAAGACTGAATTTCTAAGTCCCTATGTAATTCATTATAAAACTTGTTCAACACATTCTTCATTGCGTGATGGATCTGGGATACAGATTTTAGAGAGAAAAGTACATGAATTTTGGAAGATGCTTCATTTTCTAATAATTAGATATGGGGATATCAGACTTGTAGAGAGAGACTTCATGTATCAAAGAGTTATCAAGGAGTTAAGTCCCTTTGTTTTTTGGTTGATAGTATACCGAACATTATTCAGTGATATCACTCCATTGAAAGAGAAAAACATTAAAAGAAATGCATGCATTATTTACTTTAGGCAGCTCCTTTATTGTGCTCTGCTATGGTAAGTCCTTTATTTGAATATTAGAATATAGTGCCCACTTTAGGGTACTTCAGGAAAGATGGGGACTGTTTTGAGGGTATTCACATGAGAAACTTAAAGGGCAAACTAATCAAAATAAATACTTGGTAGGAAAACATATCATAAAAATGTTAAAATCTAAAATGGATTTGCAAGGCAGGAAATAAAATTTCCATCTCAATATTTTTTAAGAATATACAACATTTAGGGTGGCTGCTTAGGAACAGGCTTTTCCTATTTTTTTCTTACTAAATTATCATTAATATCAGCAGCTAAAAGGAGTTTCTCCTTTTTTTAGAATTAAATAAAATTCTGAAAATAAATTATTTATTAATAATCTGTTTATTCATTTCACAATTTGAAAGATTTAATCATAAACATAATACAGCCCTACTCCCGGATCTTAGAAGACTATTAATTATGCTTCATTTTTCTTACCTTGCATACCATGCCAGCAATACTAAAGGGCTCTTTGTACAAAAGGCAGAATACTGGCAGATTGTTAACAGGCTATTCCTTTATATCTTAATATTTCTTTGTGATTCACTAGCTCTAGTTTTAGGACTGCTTTATTGACAGTGATGCACAGAACTGGTATTATGGGCTGCCTTCCCTCTTCTGATGTTGCTGTAGTTTCTAACTACCTTCAGACCAAAGTTCAACTCTATGATAAAAAAAATGAACATTAAATAGGAAACAGTACAGTCACGTACCTGAAAAGTACAGAGTGGCTCAACTTGAAAATAAGATGAAAAATAAAGTCATTGGCATATTTATTTTTGAACAAGTAACAGCAATAATTCTCCATTCACAAAAGGTGAATAAACTACAGCTCGAGATGGAAAATATGAAAAATCAACATAAGGAAACAGTTGACATGTATAAAAGAGAAATTGAAGCAAAAAGAGTAACTGAAAATAAATTACTTCAAGAGGTGAGAGTTGTTAATTTTTATGCAACTTTTAGTTAGTTTTTGATGTAAGATAATTTATCAATTCTTGATATATTTTATGAAGCTTTACCAGTGAGATTCCTTGCACTTACATAGCAGTCTTATAAACATAGATGGAGCTTCTTGTGTATGCCTGTGAGCAAAGCTTTAGAATACTAGATTCTTTAGGTTGAAGCATTTGTATATGTCTTTAAAATAAGAACCTAGCTAAAAAATCTTTTTGTCAGGATATTGTCCCTAGAAATTCTATTCTTAGTATAAGTACAGAATAAGAAAAAAATATATACAATTTTTCTTGTATTAGTGTTTTCCTGCCCACACTTGATGATAATATCAAAAAATGGTAAGGCAGAGTGCTTGAAATGGCCTTGTGGTTCAAAACGACACTTATTTGCCATGGAAGAATTGAGGTAATTTTAATCTAGGTATTAGTTGCCCATTTTAACAAAGTATATAAAGATGTAGGATTTGAAAAGCATCTTGAAAGCAAATGAAGACTACACTAAATGAAACTATATAGATTGTACACACAGAGGTGGGAAGAAATGTAACTAAGATTTTTATAATATGTTATTCTTAGTTGTTCATGAATTAAAAGAAAGTTGATACTAACAGGTAGAAAAGATGAAGTTACTTGCTGATGAAGCGACAGTAACACAGAGAGAAATGGACATCCGATGTCAACACAAGATAACTGAAATGATGGCACTTATGGAAAAGCACAAAGTAAGATTTCTAATGTGTAATACTATGATAAATAAAAACCTTTCAAAACCAGAATTTACAAATTAGAAAGTGAGTCTAGGATAATGAGGTTTAACACACTTGACTTTTCATCATCTAAAAGTAAATTCACCTTCATATTTTGAAAGCATGTTTACTGGCAGATAAATTCCATTTGTATAAATTTCTGGATATCTTAACATGATGTGAATTAGTAGCACCTTAGAATTTCCAGTAATCTTTAAGGTAAGATGTGCTGGTGGCACTGGCCTTTTGACAATGTCTTGTAGGCTGCATTCTTTTTCATAGTATCATATTCAGAGACTGAAAAAAGAGGAGCGTGTATGTTTTTGTGCTTTGCATGATTTATTTATTTATTTAATATTCTAACTTCATTTGATACTGTCCTAATGTAATGCTTTTCAATATCAGTTTGGGCCTCTTTTTATGAGGAGATTATTTAGTGAACTTCAGCAGTATAACTTATTTTTGTCATTTTCTACTGTGCAGATAACATGCATAACACTGCCTAGAAATAAAACACTATTGCTCCACAAAATAACACTGCTTGTGTATTTTCTGTTGTACAGTTTCTGCAGAAGTGTCCATGTTTGTTCCTAGTATTGTTTTGAGACTAGATAGATCTATAACTGTAACATTTAGTCAAATAACTTTTTTTTAATTATTTTTAACACAGCATGAATATGATAAAATGGTTGAAGAAAAGGATACAGAGTTAAAACTATGTAAGATAAAAGAGCAAGAGCAGTTGTCATTGAAAAGAACTTTGGTAAGGCATACTCTTGAGCACTGAATAATTAAATGGAGGGGTTGCTGTCCTAAAAGGGTAATATAAATGTAATATTAGATTTTTTTCCCTATTTATTGTTCCTTGTTTTTTAAGAGTCTGATTTAGTGCGAGTGAACAGTAAGGAACAACTCACCAATTTCTGTGTACTATATTTTCTTACAGATTTTAATATGTACATTAAACTACTAATTTTCTAGAGATTATTTAAAGTAGCTGTGCTTTTCTGTCTACTTTTTCTAATAGTGCATTATGTTCTAACATCACTGTCTGGTTACAAAATTTTAGTATTAAACATTTTGATTTTTTTATTCCCTTCTCACAAGTATTTTTATTTCTTGCTTTGAACAGTAGTACTTCAGCTCTTTTTAAAAGAAACAAAACTTCAACTCTAGGGTTGTATCACTATTTTTTTTTTTTTTTTCCTTTCTGGGGACCTTAGCTTTGAGAAATGTTCCGAGAGTCAACAACCCCTCAAGTCTTTTATGAAAGACTTGAAAACTTGAGTTATGAAACTTAAAATGTAGTATTTTTCTAACTTTTCCCTTCACAGAATAATTCTTTACAGCATGTTTTTATTAGACTTTTTTTATAGGTGTGACACATCAAGCCAATATTTTTTTTTATTCTTTTGAATTTATTTTTATATAATGAAAAATCAACTTCTTTGATCATGTGTTATTTTAGTGATTGAATTTTCTCTAAATGTGAATTGTAAATGCTACTCAGCATAGTAACTTTATGGTTAAATTAGCTCTATTGAACAAATGGAATTTTCTTTTGTTTATAATGAATATGAAATAATGTCTCATTTGGACCATTTTCTTTTTTCCAGGTTAAGCATAGCTAACCATTTCCATTGATTTCTTCTAATTGGTTTTAGGAAAGCGAACTGTCATGTTTGAAAAGTGAACTGTCATCCCTTAAGGAGCAGCTTAAAGTAGAAATTGAAGAGAAGGTATATTTATATATTTAAGGTAGCAGCCTGGGTGACATCCTTGGCCTGGTCATATGCACTGTAACCATGATAACTATGAAATGGGTTTCTGATTCTAAGTCTTGCTGTCTTGAAATGAGAGCTTGATGCTCCCTGAAGTCATTACGTATAATTTCTGGTGTTTGTGAATGTTTTACATTACTCCTGAGTAGGTAAGTGGGAGCAAGGAGAGATTAAAACCACAAGAAGAGCTGTTAATGCTTGCAGGGAAAATGCTAAGAAGCCAAAGCCAATCTTGATTTAAAACTGACAACAGACATGAAGGGCAGAAAGAAAGGCTTCTACAGGACCTGCTGCTGAATGTGGCAGGAATTTTGGTAACAAACAACATGGAAAAAAGGCTGTGGTATTCAGTGGGACCTGGAAAATCAGGAACAAGGTAGACTTACCCTTGGTGGAGGCGGATCAAGTTAGGGAATCTTTATACAAACTAGCCAAATGGAAGTCCATGGGACCTGGTGGGATACATCCATAGGTGCTGAGGGAGCTGGCCAGTATCATTTTGTAATGGCCACTCACAATTATCTTTCAAATGTCATGGTGACTAGGGGTGGGTCCTGAGGAGATCAAAAAAACAAATTTCATTCTTATCTTCAAGAAGGGCAAGACAGAGGATCTGGTGAACTATAGGCTGGTCAATGCTACCTCAACCCCTGGGAAGGTGATTGAACAAATAATCCTGGAAACTATTTCCAAACATATGAAGGACAAGGTGATTGGGAGTAGTCAGCATTGATTTATGTGAAGGAGGAATCTTGCTTAACCAACCTGGTTGCCTTCTGTGGTGAGATGACTGGCTTGGAAGATGAGAACACTGGGAGTTCTTTATCTCAAGCTTAGTAAGGCTTTGACGCTGTCTCCTACAACATCTCCAGAGGCAAACTGATAAAGTTTAGGCTGGATAAGTGGACAGTAAGGTAGACTGAAAACTGGCTTAACTGCTGGGCTCAAGGGATTACAATCAGTATGGTACGAAGTCCAACTGGAGGCCAGTCACTAATGATGTACCACAGGGTTTGATACTGGGTCCAATACTGTTTAATATCTTAATTAATGACATAGATGATGGGACAGAATTCATCCCCAATTAGTTTGCAGATGATGCAAAATTGGAAGGTCTGATAGAGCAGATGATTTCAGAGGGATCTGGATAAATGGCTGAACAGGAATCTGATAAAGTTTTTAACAAAGGGAAATCTGAAATATTGCATGAAGTATACAATAACTCTTAGAACCAGTACAGACTGGGGGCTGACCAACTGGAAAGCAGCTTTGCAGGAAAAGCCCTGGGGTTCTGGTGGACAGGTTGAACATGAGACAGGATGTGCCCTTGTGGTGAAGAAAGTCAACAGCATTTCAGGCTGTGTTAATCATGAAAATGATTAACAGATCGCAGCATCTGACATAGAAAAAAGGACTGAGAGAGCTGGGATTGTTTAACCTCAAGAAGACAAATTTCAGGGGCCTATTATCAGTGTGTGTAAGTACCTGGGGGTGGGGGTGAGGGAGGAGGCAAAGAACACAGAGCCAGATGTTTCTCAGTGGTATCTAGTGAAATGACAAGAAATAATAGAAACAAAATGAAGTACAAAAAAATCCATTCAAACACAAGAAAAAAGAACTTTAATGGTAATAGAATATAGGAGGAGGTTGCCCAGAGAGGCTGTGGAGTCATGGAGATGTTCAAAACCCAGCTGGACGCTGTTGTGAGCATCCTACTGTAGTACACTCTGCTGTGTGCAAGGATGTTAAACCAGAGGATCTCTGGGTCCATTCCAACCTTAACTATTCTGTGACTCTGTGATTTTGTGACTGCTATATAGTATTCTTCAGCTAGCAAAAGAAATGCGAAATAGAATTAAAAGTCAGTGAAGGAACACTAACTTCAATAAACAAAAATGTTTCAGTTTACTTGAGTGAAATAATAACTAGAAAATAAAACATTTACTACCTATCCCACAACTCTTTTTGAGAATTTTGCAAAAGAAACGCCCCCAAATATGGTTCCTGAAAATGAAAAGAAGCACAAGGTAGTTTTAATGTTATCATTAAATAATTTAAAAAATTGGTAATACGTACATAAGCAATCTAGATTAAGTTCCATGATAAATAATACATGCTGGCCAAAAGACATTAAAATGCTTTTAATTTAAACCTTTTTTAATTTTAGAAAACACAAACTTATTTTACTGAGACACCTAAACCTCATTTAGATCGGGACTGTACATCTATTAATGTAAAAAAAATATTGTCTCAAAATATTCCTGTAAAAGTCAACATGATGGAAAGTAGAAAAACATCTCCTCCAGCACCTGCAAAAAGTCCCTTGGGTAGTCGATTATTAAAGGTTTGTAACTCATGATAGTGAATTGTTCTTGTTTTATTTTTTCGAACTATTTATTTCTCTATTTAACTTCTAATGAGAAAAACTATTTAAGCAAAAACAATCTTATTCTTGATGTCACTCATTATCAGTGTCTTTCTGAAAACTTTCCTGCAGGCTTGTTTGTTTGCATTTTCATAAATGTTGGTTATAGTATGTACATAGTGACTACAGGTCAAAATAACAGATGAATTTCTGTAGATGAGCTTAAAGAGATTAGATATAGTATGCCATAAAACTCAGTTCTTCCACAGAACTTTTTTTTTTTTTAATTGATTTGCTTGGATCTTTGTTTCATGCTTTGAATTGAAAGATAATTGTTACACAGTATCTCTCTGTTGTCTGCCTGGATATTCTGTCTGTTTAGTTCTAAATTCCATAATTACCATTGAAAATGTAATTTTAAATGCCATCTTTTTCTTTCACAGACATATATTGTAAAGACTCCCCCAGTACATAAAATGCAAAGTGAAAGCACAAATCTGCTTTCAGAACAGAGGAAAAAGCAAAAAGTGCTTCTGCAGCTGGATGCTCAGTCAGATAGCTCTGAACATAGTGATCTCTTGGTAAAAATCTGAGAACAAATAGCATGATTAATAATTCTTTATGCACACTGATGTATCTAAGAATGTAAATAAGGCATGTGGGCTTCTGTATACAAATCTATTTATGAGTGATTTTTTATTTCATTGGTTCTTTCTGGAAATGTATTTATATGTACATAATTAGTAACTTTATGACAGAATACTGCAATATAAAAATATATATTCAGTTTTATAATGATTTTTTACATTGTTTTTATTGAAACTGTTGAGGTTTCATAGTGATATCTTAACTTTCTTTTTCATACTGCAGTATTCCTAAGGGGAAAGAAAAGAGATTTCTGAATATAATTATTTTTTTTTTCTTTTAATTTAAGAGCATAGTTTCAGAGGAAGAAATGTTTAAAAAATTATACAAAGATTATCCACAAGCTTCACAATTATATGCCATGACGCCAAAAAAGGTATGTTACCTTTTCTTCACATCAAAATGAACAGTAGATCAAATTTGTTTTAGAAACTAATGGATGGCTTTATTTTTTCATCTTAGAAACCGACTACATCAAACCTGAAAGCTCCAGGCTCTGCACTGAAACTTACAACTATGAGAAAAATGAGAGAGGCTGGGTGGACTGCAGTTTCCAAAATGGACAGGAAAAGAAAAATTAAAGAAGCTGAAAAACTCTTTACTTAAAATACAAAAAAGACTAGTGCCCAGCATTATTTGATTAGTACAAGCACAGTATTATTATTCTTTGAGAGTTAGTACATTGTTGCATTTTTCTGTCTTGTTCAGTGTGTTTAATACTACATTAATTTTATTTTTACAAATAGTCCTTATAGAACTACTGCAATCTGTGGAGCATTTTAAACATTTCATTCACTATACTATAAAAAGTCTTCTTTGAAATTAGTCCAACTATGAATAAAGCTGTTTAAAAAAAATAAATCTGGCATTAGAAATACTGGCTGTAACAAATTTCAGTTCTGTTATGTAAAATTTGCTCTCTTTTTCGTAACATATAATTAACAAAAGGATATTTAGTAAATGAAACGCTGAAATGCGTGCATTTTTATGTGAAATTGTCTTGCTTTTTCTTTCATTGTAAATGTCAGAACTGTCTTTTTAGACTGTTTTGTTTGCAATAGCTATTACTTTGGTATGTTAGAACAGTTTTGGAACTTTTAAAATTGGATTTTCAATAGTATTATGTAGGTATAAGAAGATTTCAGCTTCATTAGGAACAAAATATGTACACATATTTTAAGATTGTAAACACAGTAGTAAGATGTCATTAAATTGTTAATTTGAAGCATAAACTGTGGAACCATATGTTGTTGCTATATTTATTGAACACAGATATAAATCACCTGACAGCTTTCCTAAGAATTATACATGCATGTTGCCAAGATTCCATTCAGGACCTTCATCAGTGAAGAGTCTGTCTAATTACCTACTGCCTGCCTATCAAATTGGCAGTCAAATTGATAGCATTACAACCATAATAAAATGAAAATTGTTTGTGACTTTTACCACTTAGTGTTATTATGATATTGTGGGGTATAGTCATTCATTCATGATAATCCTGTAGAAGACTTCTGGCTTGTCTTTGGTGGTGGCAGTGGTTTTGTTGTTGTCATTTTATTTTATTTTTTAATTTTGTCCCACATGTAGACATTTCATATCTTAGAATAACAGGAACTGACATCTAGCACTCTCCAGTTAAATGTAACCAAATATAAAGTGGTCCACCATAGAAGCCACAACAACAAATAGGACTGTGAAGTACTTTCAGAGCATAAGTGGAAATTGTTGGCATATCACGTGCAACAAAGAGAATTGCCCTTTTAATCTGTGCTTGACAGGATATGCTACAGCTAATCCTAGGGAAGAAAGAGAAGAGCAGTCATCTGTGAATCTACAAATTTAAAAGGTAAGAGTTCTGTTTCAAGCTATTACAGACAGACTCGCAATAGAGAAATTAGCTTTGAAAATTCAGCAGCCACAGTCTGTTTAAATGCAAAACCTGATGGCAAAAAAAAAAAACCTTGTTCCTATGGCAGCATATTAGGATCTGATTTCCTTTTATCAGTGTAGGTTTACAATAAAATGGGCTTGGAAATTCCTCTGTCAGAATACAAATCTTGTAGAAATCTGATTTTGTCTATGGTTGTTGTTGTTGTTTCTGACTTTTTGTTTTTAATCAGCATAGCTTCTGATTTTCAACTGGACACGTTTCAGTTTTAAGATCCACAATAGTATATGCCTACATGTATATCACAGAATCACTGAATGTTAGGGATTGGAAAGGACCTTGAAAGATCATCTAATCCAATCCCCCTGCCGGAGCAGGAACACTTAGATCAGGTCACACAGGAATGCGTCCAGGTGGGTTTTGAAATTCTCCAAAGGAGACTCCACAAGTCCCATGGACAGCCTGTTCCAGTGTTCTGTCACCCTCACAGTAAAAAAGTTTTGTCTCATTTAAGCAGAACCTCCTGTGTTCCAGCTTGCACCCACTGCCCCTTGTTCTGTCATTGGGTGTCACCAAGAAGAGCCTGGCTCCATCCTCCTGACATTCACCCTTTACATATTTATAAACATTGAGGTCACCTCTCAGTCTCCTCCAAGCTAAAGAGACCCAGCTCCCTCAGCCTTTCCTTGTGAGGGAGATGCTCCACTCCCTTGAACATCCTCGTGGCTCTGCACTCTCAAGCAGTTCCCCATCCTTCTTGAACTGAGGGGCCTGAACTGGACACAATATTCCAGATGTGGTCCCACTAGGGCAGAGTGGTGGGGGGAGAACCTCTCGACCTACTAACCACAGGCCTTCTGATACACCCCAGGAAGCCATTGGCCTTCTTAGCCACAAGGGCACAGTGCTGGCTCATGGTCATCCCACTGTTCACCAGGACTCCCAGCTACCTCTCCCCTTCACTGCTTTCCAGCAGTGGAATCAAGACTTTACCATTCTGCACTGTAAGTTAACCTGCTCGTAAGTTTATAAAGTTTTCATTGTGTTGTGCCACTAACAGAGTGAGTAAGAAGAATTTGTGGTAACTTATCTTCATTGTTCCTACTTTTATTTTAGTCATTGGTTAGTGATGGAAAATCATACTGTTATTTCTAGATGTAAACTTTGGGCATGCACTGAATTTCTGTAGCCCATTTCAGAGATTCCTGGGTAACAAACCCAAGAATTCTATGTTTTCTAAATTCTGTTCACAGAGAATATTTAAAACACTTCTTACAGAACATCAGTATACTATCTTTCACTTAGTGAAAGTGTAAAATAACTGATGTGACTGAATGGAGTGGTTTAGTTAACAGAAAGGTTAAAGATAAATAATTAAAAGCCTGTGTTCTGGCTGTTCCAGAACACAGCTACAAAGCTGCTGGCTGTAAAAGCGCATTAAAACTTTCTATCACTGAATAGTCTGAAGGTCAGCAAAGGGGCAATGAAAGAAAGAAATCCATAAGCATCAGATATTGAACTATGGATTTTAGCAAACTGTAGGAAAGAAGCTTTTTCTGCACTCATAGGTTGTCACACTGTATTGCTGTTCTCAAAAGGTACTGGGATCTCAATCCCATCAAATATTTAGAGAGGTCTGTAGTGAGGAAGCCTACAGTCATATCCAGGATGCTCATGGAAGAGTTTTTCTACCAGCTTAATAGCTTGTGTAAATTACTGAAGAAATAGGAATATGTATATCACTCCAGTGATACTCAGAGCTTCTCTGACAAATGGCCGGGTTAACGTGATGCTAGGAAAGAAAAGGTAATAGGAAGGATGTTCTCTCTGTTTTAGTATGATCATAACTTGAGTACAAGGGACAATAGTTACATTAGTCTGAAGGTCTATTCAGACTCATTTATTGTGTTTCCAGATGAAATATTTTTCATTCTTAATGCTTGGTCAGATATTTCTGTAACGCACTGCAGTACATTCAGAAGCTGGGTAACAAAGTTTCAATGAACAAATGCACTGCTCAAATTATACTGCCTGCTGCAGTTACGGAGAATTCCTAGCATTCAGCATACTCTGCCTAACAGCTCTAACTTTTCATGACAGTAGGGCTCTGGACAGATGGAACTAAGGACATTACATCTATGTAGTTGCCTTAACAACCAAATTCATAATCACCTCAAAGAATGAAATCAGGTTTGTGTGACATGACCTATTTTATGTAACACCATCCTGACTGGCATTAATTATGTTCTCATCCTTTAATTCTTTATTGCTCAAATCCTGTATCAACTTTCTGTTATTTTACCTGATTTATCAGTGATAGATGTCAGGCTAGCTGGTTGAGCATTACCTGGGTCAACATTTTCTCTTTAAATATTGGCATAATATAAGCACTTTTCTAAATGTTTTGAAATTTCCCCAGTATTCTAAAACTTGTTGAAATTAGCAGTAGCAAGCAAAAGATCCTTAGCTTTGAGGTGATAACTTTTAAATATTTGTTTACATCTTATTTAACAACTGTTATTGCAAATGTGTATGTTGGTTTGTCAGCCACCACATTTTCAAATGCAATGTAGTTACTGATGACTTTGCACTTACTCTGCATCAACAGTTCATCTTCAGCTAGTAACATCCCTTGATATTACTCTTGGCCTCTGTCCTGGTAGAAGTTTGTCTTCTGGTGTCCAGATTTCTGTACCAGTTTTCTACATTTTCCCAACTTCTAATACTGATAGTCTCTCCTCTCCTCTCCTCCCCTCTCCTCTCCTCTCCTCTCCTCTCCTCTCCTCTCCTCTCCTCTCCTCTCCTCTCCTCTCCTCTCCTCTCCTCTCCTCTCCTCTCCTCTCCTCTCCTCTCCTCTCCTCTCCTCTCCTCTCCTCTCCTCTCCTCTCCTCTCCTCTCCTCTCCGATTTTTAATTCTTATTTTGGGCACTTTTTGTCCTCTCCAGGATTTAGTTCTATGAAGTGTTTCCTTTTCCTTTCAGGATCATTATCTGCTTTGAAATATTCCTAAGGTTTTCCAGGAAAGAACATTCTTTTCCATGACTAAAGTTTTAAACAAACAAACCCACACGTATATATGTCATGTATATGTGTATTATATATCATTATCTACATGTGTTTTTATGTCTATACTTATATAGCCTGTATGTTTAACTGCATTTAAAATAGCTCAGAAAAATATAAAACTAAGCATCATATTGGAGTAGTACCAAAATAAGTGTTTTACTTCTGTTGCTAAGTCTAGCTGAACAGATGTTACTGAGTGTAAAATTACTATTTTGTTCATGTCTATAAGACAGAAACAGTTATATTTAATTCCCAAGAAGTTATATGCTAAAAATGTCATTTCCAACTGAATAAGACATGTACACTAACTTGATCTTTTCTCACTTTTTTTCCTCCCAGGTGTTTCACAAACCCTAAACAAAAAGTGTTTCACCCTTATCAGTAGACATCTCAGTTTCACTGAAGTTGGTGCAGTATTTTGCTTTTCATTGTGCTGCAAAAAGTGGTTTCTCACAGTGCAACTAGATTATACCCTTGTTAATTAGTATTTCAGAGTGAATTGTTGTTGCTTTAGTATTTGCTCAGTAGGTTCAAGGCCAGATGATTTGTCTGCATGTTTTGTTTGAGTAGATAAAGTCAGGCTTTACCTAACCATGCTGTAGAGCAACTGCTTTGGTTTGAGATTTATTATTTTATGTGTATAGCACTGCATCTCTCATTTGTGCCTGCCTGGTAATGAGCAAGCAGTGAACCAGACTGTATTAAATTTTCCAAAAACATAAGGGTAGAATTAGTCATATGTGATTCAGGATGACTCCATTTCCATGCTAGCTTCCCTGTCATGACGTTGCTGTCCTATGTAGCAATTAAATTAATCAATAACAAGTTTTTAAAAGCAGTGGTTAGTTTAAAAGCCAATGAGAGAGAATGACTGTTAAAATAATTAGATTTCCAGCTCCAGTTTCCAGGTTAGGATATTATGGACACATTTGTTCCTATCACATTTACTTTGCAGTTCAGTATGAATTTTCAATAGATGACTCTGCGATAAGAAAGCAGCAATTCAGATGCAATTATATAAACAGTAAGATCAGCCTGGAATTAGCCTGGAGAGTATAAAGCGCACACAGAGCTTGTGCTGGGTCACTGCCTCTCCCAGCTCAAGGCAGAATCAGGTTCCTGTAATAGGGAAGAATTCAGCTGACAAGAGGTTGGTCTTTCTAGACTTGCATTGTTGCAGCTACAGGGTAAACCAGACTGCATAATGACTTTTGCTATGGGAAAATGACAGCTGGAAGAGACTAGAGGGTAATGTCCATGTGTTTGTAGACACTGTCATTTAAAACTTGTA